CTTCAAAATTGAGTGTCCCTTTTATACTTTAAAACATCTCAGTCAGTTCTGACTGGACACATTTGGAGTACTTAACAGCCACATTGACAAGGGGCTCTGATAGTGGACTACGCAGCTACAGGGTGACTGTTGTCATCTGAATTTAATGATAAGGTGGAAGATGGCAAAAATTGGCCCATCTAGGCCCAGCTCAAATCCCACTTCTTTGTTGAAACCTACTCTGATCCCATTAGCAGAGAGTAATATTTCCTTGCACAGAGCTTTTATGAAACTTCAGTTTAACCTTCTTTGTGTTACTTTTGTCATGCTATCTTATATTGCTATTGTAGATGTACATGTGCTAACATCACCATTTCCTTAGGGGTAGAGTTCCAAAGTTACTGTATACTTGTCCATAATTTCTATCTTCCAGACCTTATGTGCTAGCCTTCTAATATGATGCAACTTTGATATAGATGCCTGTGTTCAGTTATCCTGTGATCTTACAAGGTGTGGTAGGCAGTTTGCTGGAACAGAAGGATCAAAGCCCTGGAATTTCTTACTATGAATCCCAACTTCACCTCAACTGTGAGACCTTGGGCAAATTTTTATATTCTTTGGTCCTATTTTTTCTGTCAGTGAAGATTATTATTATTTTATAGAATTGTTGTGGGAATTAAATGAGATACTGTATTTGTCATATAAATTTTGTGAGGAAAGACCTTTTGCCCTCTCATCACCTTTTGGTTCCATTACTGAGATCAGTATCTGATATATAGCAAGAGTCAATAAATATTTTGATGAGTGAATGATTGAATTATTACTTTTCCCTTTTTTTAAGGAAAAAGAAGCTCACTTTTTTAAAAGGTTAACTATGTAAGCATTTATCATTTTAAATATGTTTTTATTGATTTTTTAGAGAGAGAGGGAGAGGGAAAGAGAGATAGAAACAATGATGAGAAGAAACATTATCCATCTGCTGCCTCCTGCATGCCCCCTACTGGGGATTGAGTCTGCAACCCAGGCATGTGTCCTGACTGGAATCAAATCAGTGACCTCTTGGTTCATGGTTTGACACTCAATCATTGAGCCACACTGGCTGGCCAAAGAAGCTCACTTTTAATGTGAATTTCTCTTTATCCTTTCCCTTGCCATATAGCAATCATCATTTTCTTTCTTTTTAAGCAAAATAAAATGTATCATTTTGTGATTCAGAGACTCCTTACCATGGCTTACAAGGCTGTCCTGTGTGACCCCGGCGCTGCTCTTTCCAGTATCTCTCATCTCAGGAAAGGATAGGTTCTTGCAATCACTTTCTTGGTTATCTTTGTTTCTTCCTATTCACTCATCGCTCAGTTCATCAGCTAGTTAGTTCTGCCACTTCCACCTCTAAAACCCTTAATGTGTGCACTTTCCTCCATCCCCATTGCACTACTCTTGTCCTCGGCACTATCATTTCTTACTGAGGCCAGCAGCCGACGTGACAGATAATAGCCTCTCGCCTCCTAACTGGTCTGCTTTCAATCTTGAGTACCTTACAATCCACTTTCCACATCACAGCCAGAGAGAACTATTACAAACTGTGTCTCTCATTTGTTCAACACCCTCCACAGATTTCCACTGCTCTTCAAATTAAATCTAAACTCCTTGCAATGGTCTCCAACACTTCATTTGATTGGACCATCATCTACATATCCTGTCTACTTAGTTATTATGTTGAGGCCATATTTGGCTTTTTCTGTTTCTCAAGCACATCCCCATTATAAGATTTTTGTGCTTGACATTCATTATGCATGGATACCTTGCCTCCAGTTTTGGTTTATTTTTTTCCTAACATTGAGTTTATAGCTCAAATACCATCTTCTCATATTCTCCTCTGATTACCTACTCTAAATAAAACTGCTCTTTCTATTCACTCATCCTGTGGATGATTTATCTCATTCATTTATTTATTGAGTTGCTTATTGTTAGGTGCCACCACTAGAAATGTAATTTCCTATAATCAGAAACCCTTTTTTGTCTTATTTATATATAAAAGCCAAGCGACCAAAACGACTGGAAAGACTGGAATGACTGGAATGACCGGTTGCTATGATGTACACTGCAGCGGGCCAACTGGCCCAATGGGGGTGGGGGTGGGGGTGGGGCCGGCCTCCCTCGGCCCCTCCTCCTAGCCGGCCTCACCCCCGATTGACGCCCCCCCAACCCTGGTCAGGGGCAGGGCTGGCCAGGCAACCTCCCACAGCACCCCCAACCCTCCCCACCCCTGGCCACCAGCTGGACCCCACCCATGCACGAATTCATGCACCGGGCCTCTAGTTTACTATAATATCTAGTATGTAGAATAATGCTTGCCCTAAAATAGGTGCTCTATAAATATTTGATGGATAAATACAACTTTACATATCAGTGTTCCCATATATGACTGGGGTGATGATGGAGGAAGATGTCAATGCTGAATGTAATTATCAGGAAAAGTTGGAACTTGAACTTTCAGTAATGGGTAGGATTCAGATGCATGGAAAAAAGGAGAGGATTTTCTACATTAGCAAGTTCACAAAGTCAGGAGTGAGCATTCTATCTGTTATTTGTAAATGTAATTCAATGATAGGGGCATCTTGAATAATAAATCATTCATGAAAAATTCTATCCTTTTAGAATGATTCAAACCATTCCTATATTCAGTGTTGGTATTTTCTAGTGAAAAATCTGCCTTTTAAATCTTAATTGTAAAAGATTCACATTTTTTACCCTTGTCTTTCTGTTTTGATTCACATTATTTTAAAACAAATGCCCAAAGAAATGATCTTTCCATGTGGTTAACCAAGCCCATAAAATTATTTGCTTCTGGATAAAATATATAGCCATAGAATTATTTTTTACTATATGAATGAACACATTTCTTTCAGAGACTGTAAATTATTATCTGTTATTAAGTGAAACTTATTTTAAGAGATCATGTTAATCTTTAGGATTCAGATTATTTTTATTAAATATATTATATTACTAATGGTTATCCTAGTCTTACGCAACCAATGAGATTATTTGTTAAATTTTAATGAATTGAGCAACAGTATCCTGGTTGCTTAGCAAAGTGTACTTGCATAATTGGGATCATTTTCCTCATCATTTAAAATTAATCATCCCAGGTCTTCAAACTATGCTTTGAAAGTAGACATAAAGCATGAATTTAGTTTTCTTCTGTTGGTTTCTATTAGGCATGTGTAGTCCACATACAATGGGAACAAACCTCTATTTTTCAAATTGCACTTTTAAAAATTTACATATTTTCATCATTAGGTCACTACAGACAATTTCTTTTCCTTCTACCCCTTTCATTTGTACCTTAATATGCCACTTAATATGTTTGAATTTAGTACTTTATTCAGGAAATATTCTTCTATTATTACATGGTACTTTCTCCTATCATCCTTTTCCAGACCAGAAGTACTCAGCATTCTTTTCACTCCTTCTATCTTTTCATATGCCAGACAAGCAAGCTAATTGTCAGTGACACCTTATAAGTCAATAAGCAATGATATGCTTCTAGACCTAATGATTATCTTCCTCCAGTAACAAAACACTCTTCCCACAAAACAGCAATCAACATGTCTGCTTAGAAAATTTGTTTCACTCCTACCACATAACAATGTTCTTAAAAGCATAATAAAGTTGAAATAATATATAAAATCAATGTGATTACTTTCACTTAGAAATATCTTTCTGTTTTACAAACATGAGGTAAGGAGTGAAGAAGAGTAAAGATCATTTAATGAATTAAAAAAACTCCAAGGTATTGAAACAATCAGATTACTCCACTGAAAATTTCTAAAGGCAATGCCAATTCTCAAATCTTTAATGAATAATTGATTGGCTCAGGTTATGATAAAAAAATGGGCTGGTATGGAATGTGACATTTATGATTCATTCATTTAACAAAAAATTGAAGCGCCTTCTTCATTCTGGGTGTCTATTTTTGTTCTCTCTCTTGCTGGTTTTGTCTTAACCCCCAACACTGACTGACTGCCAATGACATCAGTTTAACGGTCCTGCAAACACTGGCTCTCTCCCCGGCACATGCATGGGTTCTCCGAGGCCCCTGGGGAGTACCTCCACTGCCCACTTCTTTGACATGACAGACCAGCTCTGGCTCAATCATTTTTAACTCTTTTCAGCTCCTCCCTGTGGCATAATGTCCTGCTGCTTTCTGCTGTGAGGGTCTGTTTGCACGGAGGCCTCTTGGGGGAGGTTCTGGAAAGAGAGTTCGAGCCTGACCACTCTTTGTGGCCTATACGTCACCCATGGAGGCTCTGGCATCTTTGTCAGGGCACAGGTGGGTGTACAAATTGCTCCACGACTCTTTTTCCCTTTCTTTGTTCTCTTTTTCCAATTTCCTTTTTCTGTGATCGACCAGACATATGAACAAAACGTCCGCTGCCTAAGTATATGACCTACTGGGAGGTGCTGCTTTCTCTAGCAGGCACCCTCAGGTGATGGTGGTGATACACGTGGTGCCCTCCTCATTTAGCTGGGGTGTGGGGTGTGGGCAAAAGCCCTACTTCCCACCTCTTGGGCAGCCAGAACAACGGCGTGGCATTCTCCCCTAGGCCAGAAAGTCAGACTTCAGTAGGTCCTGCTTTCTCCTGTCTTCTGCTTGCACGGAACTCGGAGAGTCGTTATAAAACTTTACATAATACTGTTTTGCTCTCAGGCAACCAAAACGTAAAGTCCCAATCATTATGTACATATACACATATAAGTCAGAGCATATGTAAAAATAGTTTGAGACTATTGGTCTTTTAGTGAATTACTTCTATTTCAGTCCTCTATGCTTAGTGCTATGGGAAGTTGACTGCTATTTAGTCTCAACCAGACTCAAATTACTTCTTGGTGAATATAGGAAGGATCACAGCCCCGACCTTGTAGTAGCAGTTTATGTGAATGTGACTAAGTACAAAGTTGGTGCTAAGTAAATACTTCTTAAACCATGAAAAACATCAATTTATCTCTCCTTCTTCTAGGTATCTTATTGTATGACATCTAGAAAGGAAAAGCTATTTAAAGTAATTGTTTATGGAAACAAAGTTCAAGTAAAGAATTTGACTCCAGGTGTGGACTACATGTTTCACGTGAAGACAGTTAGAGGCAAAGACTACAGTGTATCCGTGATGAAAAAAGTGACTACAAGTAAGGGTATATCATAAATGAAATCTTTGTTTTATAGTTAAAAAAAATTGAAAGTATTTTGGCTCAGCATAAATAAAGCTATTTTAAAACACAAAGCCTGATAATAAAGGAATAATAAAAGCCTGATGATAAAAAATGTTAAGAGAAATCTCAAAAATATATGAATTAATATTTTCTTTATATGTGTAAATGTATTGGGAACTGCATAGAGTTTTTTAAAAATCTGAAGTCAACATGTATATATATATATATTTATATGTCATGTATGTCACATATACAGAACACATGTGTGCATATGTATATATACACACATAATATAAGCACAATTTATTTTCATCTGAGGTAGAGTTTTGATAAACAGAGAACTCTATCTTCTTTTCCCCAAAGTTTGTAAATCATAAATCTGTCTTACAATGTTTTAGAGTTGGGAGAAGTTATAGTATTTGTTATACTATAATATAACTATAAGAATTCTTGTAGCCGAAACCGGTTTGGCTCAGTGGATAGAGCGTCGGCCTGCGGACTGAAGGGTCCTAGGTTCGATTCCGGTCAAGGGCATGTACCTGGGTTGCGGGCACATCCCCAGTAGGAGATGTGCAGGAGGCGGCTGATCGATGTCTCTCTCTCATCGATGTTTCTGGCTCTCTGTCTCTCTCCCTTCCTCTCTGTAAAAAATCAATAAAATATATTTAAAAAAAAAAAAAAAAAAAAAAAAAAGAATTCTTGTAAAAGATTGTGAGGCCTGTAGGATCCTCTCCCAGTGGAGACCAATATTGCAAGAAACAACATGACTTCCATTGATGAGTGGATTGAAGTGAAGTGATATAGGACTATTAAAAAAAACTGATATAACCAGATCACATTAAAAAATGCCCTCACTTCTGGTCCTCATTGCTTCTCTAACTTATTTGTTCTGTCTCATCTTCATTTAACACTAGCTAACTGCTATGTGGTAGCTAAAAAATGAGCATTCAGGAGACACAAGACTACAAGAAAGACTATGGGAAGTGATTTAGGATTGGTTGAGGAAACTAGTTGGGAACAAGGGAGGATGTTAATATGGCACTTCAATAAAAACATATATTTATATATATATAATGTTCTATTTCTCTATTTGCATAGCTTAACATGTAGGACATTATACTAGTACATGAATAAATTTAAGGATTATTACATAAGTGTTTAAATTATATTATTCATGTTTGCTATATCATTATATATATGTAGTTTTATTTACATGTAATTTACCTTTTCAATAGAACCGTCTAAGATATGTGGCTTAATATTAAAAGCTGTGAATACTTCTTCTGCAAATTTAATGTGGAATCCAACAGAAACCAACTTCACTCATTACAAGATTTATATATCAAACAGAACATTTGCAAAAGAATATTTCATTTGGGGAAGAATGACTGAGTACACAGTTACAGATCTGACTCCTGGTGGGATATATAACATAACAGTACACAGAGTAAGAGGCAACGTTGAAGGATCTGGAACATTTATCAGCGTTGTTGCAGGTATACAAATTCTTTTTGGTATTTTTAAAGTTCACATTTATATTGCATATTGTATTGTTCAAGATAAAATGTCAATGTATTTTTTAAAATTTGAAAACTTAGAGTCCACAGAATATTTAAGAGGGTCAATATACTCATTTTGATGGAATATTCTGAGGATTTTTGAGATAATAAATGTAAAATATAAACTGAATAAAACAATATTTGGTATATAGTCAGTACTCAGTAAATGCAGCCAATATTATACTTAGTTTCACATTAAATTAAAGGTCCAGCTAGTGAAATTTGATGCTGATTTGGGGATCATCCATTCTCCTAAAATCTTTGTCTTTGATGTCCTACTATGTGCTTTACACATAAAAAAACCCCATAGTCTTAGGATATGCAGAGAGTAGTAAAGAATAGAAGCAAGAAAACACATAGTATAAATCAAATTAATAGGTGAAGTAATGGGAGTATGTTCAAACAATGTGGTTGCACAGAAAAAGGAAAGGCTAGCTCCATAGCATGGGTGGAGAAAGTTCTTTGAGCCTGATAGTTTCTTCAAAAGGATAAGGAATTTTTTAAAATATATATTTTTATTTATTTTAGAGAAGAAGGGAAGAGGAGAGAGAGATAGAAACATCAATGATGAGAATCATTGATCAGCTGCCTCCTGCATGGCCCCCACCGAGAATTGAGCCTGCAACCCAGGCATGTGCCCTAACTGGGAATTGAACCCTCAATCTTTTGGTGCCTGGAACAATGGCCAACTAACAGAGTCACACTGGCCAGGGCCTTCTCTTCCACTTTAAAGGGTCTGTGTGCTTAGATTGGGCCTACCTTGGTAATCGAGTTTCATCTCCATTTTAAGGTTCACAATCTTAATTAAGCTTGAGCTCTGAAGCTATTTCTCCTGTGTCTAAATCTTACTCTACAGTTCGCTTGTTAGCTTTGAGGCCTTGGAGAAGTTATCTAAATTCTTTGTTTCCCAATTTTCTCATTTAAAAATGGCAATGATAATTGTATCTACTTGTGAATTGTTATAACTGCTACATAAAACAATGTGTGAAAGTGCTTAGCACAGTGCATAGTATATAATAAACTTGGTAAGAGTTCTTATTTTTTGTATCCAATGCATGAGTATCCCATGGATCATAGTATATATTATGCCCAACATATAATTTAATCGTGGAAAGGCTTACTAGTAAATGTGATAGCTTATCATTACAGTTTTGGTCCATGGGAAGTAATAAAAGCAATAAAGCAATGAAACTTTGTAGAGTCTTCATGTTTTATTTTTTAAAAGCTGTGCATTGTAGGGTTTTGTTTTCTTGATACTGTCTTGATAGGTTTGTGCAACTGTTTTGTGAATATTCTGGGATATGTAACATTTTGGCCTCACTTTGTATGTATTCTTTTAGGAGTCAGAATATACCGAGGAGCTCTGGGTGTGCTGTTTTCTTCCATTTCAGATCTAGTTTTCCTTTCTTTCTCAAAGGTTAATATACAATAGTTTGTATCAGAATTTTGTTTTTGAGGTTCTCCAAACTCTTTTGAGCTGTTTCCATTATAGATACCGATCATGGGGTATTTCTGTTTTTTGTCAGCTTCTCAAAATGCAGCTTAGGTAAATTTACTGAAAAGTTGAGGGGAAAGCTGGGGGATGCTTTAGAGTGCACTAATATGTAGTGATTAGCAACATGCGACTACTGAGCCTTGGCATTCGGCTAGTCCAAATTCAGGTGCACTGTAAGTGTTTAAGACACATGGGATTTCAAAGACAGTTTGAAAAAAATTAACAATCTTATTAATAGTTTTATAATGATTACCTGTAAAATGATATTTTTTGATATATTGGTTTAAATAACATATATTGTTAAAATTAATTTTACATGTTTCTCCTTACTTTTTTAGTGTGGCTGACATTATATATATATATATATATATATATATATATATATATATATATATATATATATATATATATATATATTTAAAATTTTTATTGATTTTTAGAGAGAGAGGAAAAGAGAGAGAAACATTGATGTGAGAGTGAAACATCAATGGGCTACCTCCTGCATGCCCCCTGCGGGGGGTTGAGCCTGCACCCAAGGCATGTCCTGACCAGGAATATAACCTGAAACTTTGGTGCATGGGATGACACCCAACCAACTGAGCCACACAGGCCAGGGCTCACGTTATATTTTTATTGGAAGTTACTGCTTTAGAAATCAGAAGAGATATATTTAAGCACATTTAAGGCTCTGAGATATCCTGCAATAAAGAAAACTAACAGAAAATGAAAATTATTTGACAAAGTGTTTTGATCATGGGACATCTATTAAGTTCTAAGGACTTAGGGTTCTGAAGATTAACTTTTGGGAGACTATGCTCTATAAAAAAAATATCCAATTAAAGTCTAGAATTCCTTTTGCTAGCCCGAATTAAATTGAACATATTGTGATTTTTTTTTTCTTAAAACTCCAAACATATCCACCTCTAGTTTTTATTGTTAAGTAACAATTAGGTTAAGAGTAATATTTTTGTTTCATATTTTCCTACCCTTTGAGGGATTAAATTCCATTGAGTGCAAGTCATGTATTTATTATGGGGTCTATTTTCAGTTAATTGAATCTTTCAGCTCAAATGTAAAGAGCTGCACTCTCCCATATGAGTTGGCATTGCTCTCCCTCCACTACCTTTTATGAGGGCAGGCCTCGCTCCTCTGCTCAGACTTAACAAGATCCCACTAACTAGCATCTCACTGCTATTTTTAACCTTTCTCCAAATCATACCATTCGAGAGTAATGGTTTAAAATTAAATAACAAAAACAAAACAAAACAAACACCAAATCAGATTGCTTTCCTGCTTAAGCTCTTTAAATGAATTTTCATTGTATTTAGGGGGTAAAAAATCTAAAATCTTTTTTATGGCCTGCATGTTCTTCAGACTGTTTCTCTTTCATATGTGACCCCAGAAACTCAGGCTGCCTTCTCACTTACTCTAATTTCTGTCCATTTCCCAGGCTTCTATCGACTCTGCTTTGAAAGGACTTTACCAAATTGTCTTGACGTTTTCAGACCTTCCCTCCTGATCAGATTGGCAAATGTCCAGACAAATATATTCTTCCTCCTCTTGGTGAGACAGGCCTCATCCTTAGCCAAGAGTTCTTCAGTGTGTAATCTTAAACTTCAGTCTAGGAAACTACATCCTATCTCACCACTATCTCAGTAAGCAGACCTTCACTTCTCTGACCTTCCTTTTTCTTCCAAAACACCAAAACACCAAATCAGACTGCTGAGGTATTTTTCTAGATTCTTCTCTAAGACTTCATGGATATTAGCTATTTTCCGGGACCCTTGAAGCAGTAGTATTGCCCTCATATAAATCAGTACGTGTTGGTAGTAGTTAATTGGACTTTTGTCATGTTGGACTTTTTGTCTATATTAATGTGGGCTGACTAGCAGAATCAAGCTCTTTTCTTTCAAGCCTCAGAATACCAAGGACATAAGTCTGTGTGCACAACGATCCAGGAAATATGCCAGTACCTATGAACAACAAAGGAATTGTACCCATCACAAACATCACAAACTGGGTATTTCCCTGATATTTTATCTTGGGCTTATAATAATTCTAATTTTTTTATTAAAGAGAGAGAGAGAGAGAGAGAGAGAGAGAGAGAAATCGATCCATTGCTTCCCGCTCATGCCCTAATTGGGATCAAACCCAATACGACTACAATATTTCTTAAGAGTTCTTACAAAAAAACTCTAGTGCTCACTCTGTGGGCAATTTGGAGATGCCTAGAGAATGTATCTTTGAAAATGTCGTGGTGCAAGTTAATTAATTGATATCAGTTTCAGATGCTAGGGAAGCATTATAAGTGTTAAAGGAACTTTCAAAGGGGATAAAAAATAATTCTAAAAGTATCTCCCTCCCACCTCCCCCAAAAGAGAAATTGACTTGTAAAGATTTCTATTTTATGCAATGTGCCATTATCAGTTTTGTTAGGAAAAGTACATTTAAAAATTATATTCATTCAAATGATCTGGGGCGGGGGTGTAAAATGGTAAGTGGAATTCAATTATTAATTCCAGACTCCTTTCTTCAGGAAACAGTGTTAAATTGGATGTGTATCGGGTATGTTTTTCACATGCTTGTCCTCATAAATTCTCTCCTTCCCATATATTGTTTGTCTGAAATCTGCACTAAAGATAAAGTGGAATGAAAAAATGAGTCATTGGCAACCAATCAGCAGAACTTAATGTCCAAAACTCCCTTCAAGGAGGTACAGGCAGCATAAGAAAAATTTTGAAAACAGAGGAAGCAAAGATAGAAAATCATGGCTGAAATAGCTAGGACAGTTAGACTAGGTTAAAAACTATCATATCTCTTCTCCCATCTGAAAGCTTAGCTTTCCTTTAAAAAGAAACACCTAGCTAAAAATTTATCAGAATTTGTAACCCTTTACAAATTTTGCCAGGTTGTGGTTATACATTTTTTCCAGTTGTCTTCTATTTGGTAAATATCCAGATAATTGGATAGATAGTTTGTACTTACTTTGCTATAAAATGATTCAATTTTTCTATTACAACCAAGCTTTAAAAAACAATCTCGTCCACCAACAGATTTTAGTAAGAAAAAAAAAAAAATCCCAGAGACAGATAACCTAAGTCAATATGCTATTTCTGATCATTATACTTAAAAATTAGTTATTGTTAAAGGTATGCTATACATGCCTAGCACCTCCGTATGGCTAGACATAATTGAAAGGACTCCATGCTTTCTAACAATGTGATTAGTTTGAAACTTGACCCTTAGCCTATTGATTTTCATTTTTTTCTTTGAAGCTTTCGGTGAATAACCATTTGAAAACTCTAATTTTTCAATACCAGAGCCGGAAAAGCCAGAGAAACTTAAAGCCTTCAATATCTCCGCACATTCCTTTTCCCTGCACTGGAGCCTGCCCTCCGGCCACGCGGAAGGGTTTCATGTGGATCTGGTTCCTGACAGTGGCTTTGTTACTATCAAAGATCTTGGAGGCGGAGAGTATCAGGTGTAGTTTTCATTATCACACTTGCCGAGCCAACTTGTATTTATATTTGGTCCTACTAGGAACGTTCTTTATGAAACTCATTCAGCACGAAAACATCCTCCTTTGAGAGTTTTTCAAAGCACAAGTTGAAGACAGAAACACTGTTGCCGAATTGAGGAGTGTAAGTTTCAGCATCAGTGGACTGTTACCTTAGCAAAGTCTATACTTTTTTTTTTTAAAGTCTACCCTGAACCTACAGCCAGCCATCCAAGGGTTCATGAATAGTTTAACAAAGAAAGGGCAGAGCTATTGAGTAATCCAGGCTCATTAATTGTGTACTTGCCAGGAGGATCTGTCTTTAAATCATTAATGCATGCAACATTTCTCTCTGGAGCCATCAATGTGATTCCACTGCCTGAAAAATGTAATAACGATGGATATTCTTATCCTATTTTTTTTAGTTTTTATTGGAACTTCAGAGACACAGGTATTTCATACACACTCATAAAAATGAGGGCTAAGCAATGGGCTATAGATTTATGACTCTTAAATAGTTGTTTCTTGTGACAATGAACTAGCATAGATGGAAATACAGATTTAGTGTTCTATAATGCAGTATGTTTTGTAAGTTTTGTGTGTGAATAGTTGTGTGATAGAACACACTTATATTTTACAATACTATGAAACTTGTGATATTTTAAACAGTGCAGAGTTACACAGTAAAGTTGCTTTATTTTTATGACTGTGATAGATTCATTATTTTAGCTTTCTTGCTTTCCAGGAAGAGTTTTATTGCAATTGTTTGTTTTTGGTGTTCTAGGTTGATGTTTCCAGTGCTGTCCCTGGCACTAGGTACGATGTAACAATCTCTTCAATTTCTGCTACAACATATAGCTCACCTGTTAGTAGAACAGTGACAACGAATGTAACAAGTGAGTATGTGCTTCTATTTGGATCCAGTATAAATCTATTGGATGGAAACACTTATATTAGCAATATGGGCTTTATATGCACGAAAGCAGTTTGGTAATTAAAGCAAAATGGAAACTTAAGAAAGTGATCTGTTTAGGACCTTCATTTTACTGGTTCTTTAGTGTCCTTTTCTTTCAAAGACTAAAGGTAACTGTTCTATACCTGTTCATGAAATGGATCAGAGACTGTTACTAGTAATATTTAAATAATAAAGAGCCTGAAAATAAACTCACTGTACTTGCTAAGAAAGAATTATTCAGTTTGTAAGACTATTTCTTATTTTCTCAGTTTTGTGTGTAAGACTGTGCAAGTAAGTTTCTTTTGAAAATAATCTGGCATCCAAAGTATATTTGGCATGTAGTATTTAGTAGCATTCCATTTTTTTACATTCTTATAAAAGAACGTTTTTGGTATTTCCCAAAGTACTTAATCTTTTTATTTTTCTCTTGGTTCTAGGGAGGATACATTCACATTTAAGAGACTATTCATCTTCACAAGTGTACATTTGCAAATACTTTTCTTACCTATGACTGTTAACATACAATAATTTAACATGATTTTGCTTTAATAGAACCAGGGCCTCCAGTCTTCCTAGCAGGAGAAAGAGTTGGTTCTGCTGGGATTCTTCTGTCTTGGAATACACCCCCAAATCCAAATGGAAGGATTATCTCTTATGTTGTGAAGTATAAGGAAGTTTGTCCATGGATGCAAACAGCATATACACAAGTTAGAGCAAAGCCAGACAGCCTGGAAGTTCTTCTTACTAATCTTAATCCTGGAACAACATATGAAATCAAGGTAATAATTTTTTTTTTAACAATTACTTAGTATTAAAATATTCCCTCTATTTTAAAGGTGAAGGAGCTTTTCCCATCTGGTCAAGCCTTTACAACTGCACAGAAGTGCCTGAGGAATAATAATTTGAATCATGACCTCAGTGCCCATCAGGGCTTTTAAAACAAACAAATGTTATAATTCTCTTTCATTTTTATGTGCATTTACGTAATTTATCTATTTTTAAAAGCATTGGCTTAGTGATTTTTTTCAAAGAATAAATTAAGTTTAAAATACATAATTTAGGGTTTATAAGTGAAAATCTTCTACTTTTTAATTAAAATCAAAGTTAGCTTTGTTATTTTTCTCTGAACCCTGTTGTATTTGTATGTCTGTTATTGAAATTATGGATAATGGAATGGAAGTTACTCATGAGCCGGTTTTTCAAAGAACCATGAATTCAAATCAGCTCCATTCACCAATATTTCCTGATAATTTACTGGGTATTCGTGCTAATAAAAATGTTTAATCCTTTACAACATTTAATATGCAAAATTTAACATCTTATTTGAAAATGGAATAATGAAGAACCTATGAAAAACTATCCTAAATTAGTTAGGCCAGATGAAAATGTTTACAATTAAGAAATATCTGTGATATTCCTAGGGAGGTAGTAAAGAATACAGATGTTTTCTTGTTCTTCTGTACTTTCAACATAACATCAAATGTTCTTCGATTGTTGTAGGTAATTGAATGTTGAGAAAAAATCTGTTAGAGCTGTATAAATATATGATCAGACATAACTGGGGTGACCTTCTAGAATGGTTAGAAATGATGGAGAGATTTTGCCTGGAGGGTTTTTCCTACTGGAATTTTGCCTATTTGGGAAATAGAAAAACATAACAAGAACTGGAGAGCATATACCAAAATTGGAGATCTCACAAATGAGAAAAGTAAAAAAACAAACTTTTACTGATACAGATGTCAAAATTAAACATTTGTGATGGCAATTTTATTGCAGAAAAGTGGGTTAAAGAATGGGAAACCTTTTCCTAACTGCATCTGAAAATGACATACTACAGATATTTTCTATAAACAGGTGCATATTCAGATTAATTTATGTGAAAATATCCTGTTGAAGGTGATAAGTAGAGGTTATATTTTAATGTGATATGAGAAGCTACTTAGCCCTGCTTAGATCTATTTTTATGGAGTTTGAGTTTTCATTCCTTTGAATTATCTTATTCTTTTCATCACACACTTTATAAAATCATTGTTGAGTCCTTTACACTGTGGAGATAAATGTTAGCCATTGCAGAATTCCAAAAGGTATTTGGCATGTTACATTTGATATCTTCAAAATGTAGGTATCAAGTCTATATGATAATGGAAAAATCCTGTTAAGTATATCACATGTGCTATTGCATTTAGTCCTCAGAACAATCCTAGGACATAGACACGTTATTATTGCCATTTTAAAGAAAAGGAAAATGTGACTTAGAACAGTTAAGTTAATTGACCAAACCTACTTATCTGGGAATTGGTAGAGATGCACTTGAAACCAAGATTGTCTGACTCCGGTGTGGCATTTGGAAGGCCTTGAGTCTTGCTCCCTTTTCATGACACTTTCTCTGCCTGTTCTATTTGACGAGCTATCCAAGTCAAAAAGAACTTTTTCTTCTCTGATATTCTAGAATCCTTAGTCTAAATGATTAATTAGATCTGCTTATTTTAAAAAGTGTTTTCCTGAGTGTTTATTTACCTGATTAAATTGTAAACTCTAAGCCAGATACCATAGCTATGGTCTTGTATTTGTTACAGAAATAATTGTAGATCTTGCATAGAGTGACTATAGTGGAAAGAGGTTGAACTTTAAAAATAAGCCAAATTTTAGCTGGATTTTGGTTCTGCTACTTATGCCTGTATGACTTCAGGCAAGTTATCTGACCTCTTAACTAGTTTTCTCATCTATAAATTGTTGACAATAATTCCTCATGTTTTGATTATGTGGCTAAAATGAGATTTATAAAATTGTTTGAAGATTTCCTGGTACATAGAAGTTGCACTTTATTTTTTATTTTTTTATTAGCATACAATTTATTAGTAAATGAAATAACACATATAGGATCTTATGTAGTAAACATCATGAACATATCCTTCCAGAGAAAAAGAATCTGCTATTAACCAACTCCCCCTCTCCTACAATAGGCTGCAATCATCAATAACTCATTCTCATTCCACAGAGTAGAGGTGGGGAAGCTTTATTCTGCCAAGGGCCATTTGGGTATTTATAACATCATTTGCAGGCCCTACAAAATTACCAACTTAAAAATTAGCCTGCCATATTTAATTAATTCACCCCTAATGTTTTGGCAGGGCCAGACCAAATGATTTCGCAGGCCTTATATGGCCTTTGGGCCGGACATTCCCCCCACTGCCATAGAGGATTAAGCATGATTTATGTGTAATAGCATCAAGGCACTTGCTTTAATTATAAAAGATATATGTGGTATAAAACATATTCCTAAAAGTCATTGGCCTTGAATAATTGAAAAAAAAGGCAGTATACTTTTTTAGTGAAGTGACAAGACTCAGAATTTGAGTTAACTCGTTATCACCCTGTTATTGTCTTAAGTTGTGTATAAAATTGCAAGGAGACAAAAGGTAGCATTTTATAAAGATTGATTTGTTCACACTAATTTTTGAGAAATCATGGCAGCATCAGAATTCAAACAGTAATTTCACAACTGATTTGAATTAAAAGATAACCACTGTTTCACTCCAAGTATTATCTTATTATTTTAGGGATGGAGAATGTGGCAGGGGAAGAGAACTTCTTAAAATAAGTTTATTAAAACTGAAGTTAAAAGTCTTTTCTGGCTTAAGCCGCTTGTCTGTTTGACAACTAAAAAACCTTCAGTTAGAAATTTAGTCACTGGTATTTTGTAGTAAGATTATGATTATTTGGCCTTTTTCAGAGTTATAATTCAAGTCCAAAGAAAGGTTATATGCCTGGTTCCAGTGTAGACTTACAAACATACTATCTCCAATAAAGGCATTTGGTGTCATTATTCCAGTTTTCATAATTCAATATATCCTTCCTATTTTACATCACTAAGAGGAAAATAAAATACATACCAAACCCCTACAATCTAATATAATGCTTATTTAACATGTTTACTTTAAAATTTAAAGAGCAAAAAACTTTTTAAAAAATAATCCTTGTCAGGATAAAAATTACCTTATAAAAATAAATCTCCCCCACTCACACATCCAAATTCTCCATTCCTAGTTACTAATTTATTTTTTTTAAAAAAACGAAAATGTACCTTTAAGTTACAGTATTCCAATAGAATTTTACTTTAATAATAGGTTATGATAACAAACCAGCTGGAATATTATTTTGGCCTGTTCCATTATAATTTTCATTCTTGTTATTAGCACTAAAATTAATGATTCCGTTTATGATTATCTAAAACCTTCCTACCAGCGCTCTCCTCTTGGGAGCATGCCTGAGCCTGTCCTTCCTCCCTCTCCCCACCAGGCAGTTACCTTGGCCTTTCTTTCTCCTGAGCTCCAAAGGCCCTTCTTTTGCTTCTGCAACATGTTTCCTGAGCCCAGGCAGCCCCGCTGGCTCATTTCTATTACCTCTGTAACTTTCTAAATAAACTTACTCTGAAACAAACACATACAAAATCTTCATTTAAAAAAAAAGCCAAATTACTACAGAGCCTAAAAGCTTTCTAGATCCAATTTCCTCCTTTTGCAGTTTTTAAGCCCAGTTTCAAATAAGGCATCACTATAACAGATAAAGAAAACATTAGGGGAGGGGAGGGGAGGGGAGGGGAGGGGAGGGGAGAGAGAGAGAGAGAGAGAGAGAGAGAGAGAGAGAGAGAGAGAGAGAGAGAGAGAGAGAGAGACATTAAAGAACAGAAAAATTAAGCAAAGTCTAAATCCTATTGATTGAGTTTTTACTACGTCACTGTGGAATCATTCCCTGAATAGACGGAGGCATCCCTGCCTCCTTCTTTGTCTCAGTTGCCTGCCTCCTGCTAAGGCCTCTGTCCAGACTCAGTTTAGCTCCTCCATAAAGCACCTCCAAGTGCCACTGTGTGTCACTGAGTTACCACATGGTTCGCCTTGGATTTAGTATCAGAGTCCCAGCACCCGGCACAGAACCCTAGAGTTCTGCATAGGTCTTCAGGGAGTGTTGAGGAATTATCAACATTGATGCAAAAAGAACTTACAGTTCATCTATACCACTACATAGAGGAAAACAATTCATTAAAAACTTTAATAAGGCTCACAGACCTTGAATTTATCATTATAACTCCCAGATTCAATATTAAGTTCCCAAGAAATTCACTGCAGTCCTTTCCTAAGAGCAGAGCTAACACCCAGACAAATTACTAAGAGAACACAATATACATTTAAAGACCACCATTTACCATACTGTAAATTTAGCAACAAATTTGGCTTCAAAGTCTACTTTTGTTTAAAAGCTAAGTCAGTCTACCCAAATCTTGTTTTCCTTTGGCCTAATGAGAAACTTTTAAAAGTAATTGTCAACTAGACATCTGTCCATTGTACTGCCATTAGAGGCACGGATAGTACTATAGTCACTAGTGCTCCACAGTAGGTCAACCTGGGCTTATGTCCCAATGCTGCCTACTGCATGCTCCTCAGCTCTCCCATCTTTGGTGAATCTGTGCCCCTCTCCTTCTAGAAACAGAACTCAGTTTTGACCTTGCTCTCAATAAGGTGTGGCTTCTAATCCTGACCTCCCTACTGTTGTTCGGGGTTAACCAGGGATTGGATCCTATTCAACTGAATGCCTCTGTTTTCTCCCTTATTTAGTCAGAGATGGTCTTTTCAATGATCTATTCTTTTCACCCCTCTCCTGAATGTCAATCCTTAGTCTCTCTGTGCATGGGTACCCTCCACTCCTCTTATTGTAGCAAATTTAAAAATAAATAAGGTTCTAAAGTTTTAACCATTAAGTATCTACACAATACATTTCAATTAAATGACCATTTTAAGATATTCAGAATTTTGTACGTTTGTCAATAAGCAATGAGAAAATGTTCATTTAGACACTGAAGTCTAGAGTAAGCAAGATATTTCTGTATCAATAAAATTTGTAAAATATCTCATGGTGAACTAAAAATCCAAGGCTTTGAGCAAGAAAGCAAAGGAAATGAAAACATTAGTTTTGCGAGTAAATTAAGCTTTGGTTTCACATTTGATTTCTTTAAATACCAGCAAAAAAATTTTAAGACATGTATGTATAGGCCAAACTCTACCCAAGCAGAAAGGGTAAGATATAAATTCTTGAGAAATCTTAAATGTTTTTACAACTAGTTACCAAAAGCAGAATCTCGTTTGTCTGAGTGGAAGAGGTACTAATCAGAGCACAATTCAAGACTTCGCTAAATGCACAAAGCTCCAGAATTGTTCATATCTACATATGAAGAGAAAGGTTAGGTAAAGGTTAAATTCTGTTACTCCATTTTGCTAAGGAGTTTTTCAAATTTTTTGGACTTTTTTTTTTCTTTTCACTGTGCTAGTGTTTGCTAAATTATAGAGTTGTCTTAAACATGTACTCTACTCTGTCAGGCAGCATTAGACATCTATAATGGTCTGGATTCAAGCCTAGCTTAGGGGAGGAAGGCAAGAAGGATTCAAAACAAATGATTAACCAATAGAAAAGAATGCACAGACGCTTCCAAAGGAACATCAATAATTAATTTGTACATGTTTTAGTGAAAACAAAGCTAATGCTTACTGCATGCACTTCTATTTCAGAAAGACTATCAATAGAAGTTGCACTTTAAATGGTAATTGTTAGCATAGGCTATAAAACTTGATTATTAATTTTTCCATTTAGAATATGAGAAATTTGTTGAATCAAAGTATGCTTTAAATACATCCTTGGGGGAAATGGAAATATGGAAAACTCTGTATATGTCTTACACTTTGGGTGTATTGTAAGGATGAGAGAAAAAGTGTCTTTATCATTTGCCAAATAATAAGTCAAAGTTTTATTTCAGATTCTGTTTAATTAGAGAGCAGAACCCTTGAACATAATTATTTCAATCTACTCTAGGTGGCTGCTGAAAACAGTGCTGGCATTGGAGTGTTTAGTGACCCATTTCTCTTCCAAACGGCAGAAAGTGGTAATTTTCCTAAAGCATTTTTTCTACATTAACTTAGTTATGAGTTTTTGTTACTTAATTTGTTGCCAAAATGAATAAAATTTTCAATAGTATGACCATTTAATTATTTTAGTCTTCTTAATTAATTTATTCATTAAAGTATATATATTGTCATTCCTGATTATAAAATCAGTGTTATCTTAACAAACTAAAAAAAAAAAAACCCACAAAAATAAAAAAACATGAAATGAAAATTATTCATCACCCTGTTTTACAAAATATCCTGTTATTATTTTTAATGAAAGTGTCATTTATGCACATTTATATTTTGCATGTTTCTGTTAACATCATCATAAGCATTTATATGACATTAAATTTTTGGAAATATGGATTTTAACAGTTATAATATTATCCATAACATGTAGTCATTACCAAACCAATTTAAAGACACCTCTGTTGTTCTAGTGGCAGAGAAGAAAAATCTTGAAGTCATTATTGATTCTAACAGTATACTCTACCAGCAAATCCCGCCAGTACTACATCAAAAATGTTATCTTGAATCTCACTCCTATTGCTAATCACTGCAATCTATGATCTGTTCTTGCATGAACAATTGAAAGTCCTCTTTCTGATTTTCTTGATTCCAATTTACCTGCCTATAGTTTACTTTCTTTACAAGAGCTATATCATCTTTTGAAACATAAGCCAGACTATGTTACTTCTCTCTTCTTAACATGGCTTCTATATCATTCAGAACAAGACCCTAAATCTGTGTTTCTCAACCTGTGGGTCGCGACCCCTTTGGGGGTCGAACGACCCGGGTCGCCTAAGACCATCCAAAAACACATATTTTCGATGGTCTTAGGAACCGAGACACCGCTCCTCTATCTGTATCCAGGCGGGTCCGCCCACATGCAGATAAGCTGACTTATGAGTACCCGGCGTATTAAAGGGTCGCGGCATTAGGAAGGTTGAGAACCACTGCCTAAATCCTTCCCATGGCCTACAGTGCTCTGTATGCTCTTTCCTCCCTCAGATTTCATTCTCCCCTTCTCCATCTACTCCAGCCACACTGATATTTTTGAACTTTATGTATTCCATACTTCTGCTAACTGACATAGTTTCTAGAGATATTAACTCTCTCGGCAAAGTATGATTGAGAGAAACTAGAGAAACTCTAAGATGTAGTGGAAATAATCTTGGAATTGGTGTTTCATTGTTTCTCATATGCTGTGTGTTCTTGGTCAAATGCATAATTACACAATCCTGCTTGCTATATATTTCCTTTTTTTTGGTAACTGTAAAGAGGTGTAAATGTAATGTAAATATAAATGTAATCCAATCAGTGATCTCCAGTTTCCCCACCAAACCCCTTTTATTATTTATGCTACATAGAATCTACATTTAAGGAAAATTTCTGTGCATTTATTATTGTTTAATCAGAAGTAATTTCTTTCCCCATGAATAAATGTACTGTTAGGAAGCATGTACAAGTTAACCAGTTATACTATATTGAGTTAATGTTCCATCCAATTAGCATAAAAGCCCAACTTTTTAACTTCCATGGAGCATTATTTCAGGTAAACATAATTTATTTTGGCTTTACAATATAAAAAATATCTCTTCCACCTTCATTCCCAACTTAGTGGATCCTTAAAAGTGCAGAAAAATACTTTTAAAAGCCTCTGCATTGAATTTATATAGTTGTTTTCTGGCTCAATAAATGTGTGTTTTGTATAATGTACACTGAAAAGTTGTAGGTACTTTCACACACTTGTGTACTTACGCATGTCACTGGTCTAGATATAGCCTCAAAGTGTTGGAAGATGCTTATCTGAAAGACGAGATGACTTTGTAAACAGAATTTTTTGGTACTTCAGTGTCAAATCTTTCTATTTAGACCATGATGGATATATTAACCTATAAAAATCAAAATAATGGGATATTTATGCATAACAATTCAGAAGTAGAAATTAGAATATTTAAAATAGAAAAAGACCTGCCAATTCAAAGAGCTAGAATTAGTCTTCAGACACTATGAAGTCACAAAAGGAAAACACACATATATTTTATTGGGATAGTTAATTTAAAGCAAGTTAATAAAAAATACTCTTTCTCGCTAAATGTTGTCTAAGTGATGGAATTATGTAATTAATTTTAAAATCTATTTAATGTTTTGGGTCAACTTTTATCTTAATATTCTGAAATCATGCTTTGGAATTTAATAAAAGTTTGGTTACCTTATAAATTCAAAATTCTCTACACTTGAGCAGTTCTCTATAACTGTTATTAAGGCCCATTTGGAAATGTGTCAGCTTGTCTGACACACTTGTTAATTTTACACACATATATACACGTATGTTTGTGTGTACATATATCATTATAAAAATTTGTATAGTTTACACAAATAAGAAATTTAAAGGGATGATTAAGATTCGTGAAGAGAGTAAATTGATGGTTACCAGAGAGTTTGGGGGTATGGGAATAAGATTGATGTTGTTTTAAGTACACACTTGTTGCTCTGGCCAGTGTTGCCCAGGGGGTCCCGGATTCAATTCCTGGTCAAGGGTATGTACCTGGGTTGTATGTTTGATGCCCAACCTCGTCAGGGCACCCATAGGAGGCAACCAATCGATGTTTCTCTCTCACATAGGATGTTTCTTTCTCTTTCTCTCTCCTTCCCTTCCACTCTCTAAAAATCAATGGAAAATATATCATTGGGTGAGGATTAACAAAAAACTTCAAATAAATAAAATATACACTTGTAATAAGTAGTAAATAAGCCATAAAGATGTCATGTACAGTATAATGAATATAGACAACAATGTGGTACAATAACCATGTAATTTGATAGAGTGCTGTCACTGACAGCAATCATAATACAATGTATAAATATACCAAGTTAACACTATGTGTACCTTAAATTTACACTGTTATATGTCAAATATATTCACTTTTAAAAAAGATATGTTTTAATTCTTTAAAACCCATATTATATATTTAATACTCTTTCCTTTTGCATTATTATATTTTATCCACTAAAAAGAAATGTAAGTGTTCAGTCTTTAGTATCATATAGTAATTACTAGAGGCCTAATGCACGGATTCGTGCACTGGTGGGTCCCTTGGCCTCGCCTGTGGGGATCAGGCTGAAACCGGCTGTTCAACATCCCCTCATCCCCTAAGGGACAGTTCTTGGGTGACAAACCCTAGAATTGGGCTCCCTCCTCTCAGGTTCCAGGTGCATCACCTGAGAACTGCCACTGCCAAGTGACTGCAGCTTAACAGCTCCTGTGTTGATCATCTGCCCCCTTGTGGTCAGTGTGCATCATAGCTACTGACCAGTCAGCTGGTTGGTTGGTTGCTTAGGTTTTTAGATATATAGACTAGAGGCCTGATGATGAAATTCGTGTAAGGGCCTTGACCTTGGCCCCCGCCTGCTGCCACTGTAGCCGGGAGCCTCTGCCACCTTTGTTGCAGCCCCCGCCCACTGTAGGCCCTTTCCAGAAGGAAGGATGTCTGGTCTAATTAGCATATTATGCTTTTATTATTATAGATTAGAGGCCTGGTGCACAAAATTCTGCACAAAGGGGCGGGGGAGGTTCCTCAGCCCGGCCTGAACCCTCTCCAATCTGGGACCTCTTGGGAGATGTCCGACTGCTGGTCATCCTTTCACAATCTGGGACCACTGGCTCTTAACTGCTCATCTGCCTGCCAGCCTGATCCCCCTAACTGCTCTCCCCTGCAGGCCTGATCCCTCTAACTGCTCTCCCCTGCCAGCCTGATCATCTGTAATCACCTCTGCCTTAGCCCCACCACCATGGCTTTGTTTAGAAGGACATGCAGAGGGTCGTCCGGAAGATGTCCTGTCTAATTAGCATATTACCCTTTTGTTAGTATAGATATTATCTTTAATATTCTTAAGATTTAATTAAATCCATTGATCAGTTTCCCTTGGAGACAAAAAATTTCCATCCATCATTTCATCCATTATTAATGATTAATCATCCCCCCAAATTGATTTATTTTGTTTTCTGTTAAAATGCAGCTGTCCTTACATTTTTTAGTTTGTACTGTTTGTCATATAATTCACAAACAGCCTCTCTCCCAAGGCCAAACTTTTTTTTTTAATAATTTTTGTGGCTTTCATTTATAAATCTATTTTGTCATTTTTTTCTACAACATGCACCAAAATTCTATTATTTGGTTTCTTAATACTAGGCACTGCTATCACTTACAATGTTTTATCCCAAATGTCTTATTTTGTTTTTATTTCTTTCAATAATGACTTGTCATATTTGTTCAATATTCTGAAGGATCTTGGTTATTTATTTTGTCAGTTTTGTATAATTTTCCTTGAAATTAATGGGCATAATTTTCTCTCATTCTGTCCTTATGTTTATCTCATTCCAATTAAAATAATATACAGATTGTTATTATTGCAGATTATGAATAATTGAAACTGAAGTACCATGAATTCTGATGAAAATTAATTTTGAGGGTGTATGAAACTCAAAATGTAATGACCACAACCAATTGGGTGGTATCCACTTTATGTTAGATACTAGATATTTAGACAGAGTCTAGAAATGCTTTTTGGTATAATTGGTGGAATATTTGTTTTCATTTGCTATTTCTTCCTTACCTAAGGAATCTATATAATTCCAAAATGTTTTAAGCAAAGATTCATGTTTCAGGTTTTGTTGTTGTTGTTGTTTTTTGTATATTCACAAACAACTATTAATTGAATTTTTCAGACATATTTGAAATAGTTTATCAATAGATGTGTTGATCAAATAGTCTTGAAGTTAAACTTATCTACTCCTTAAACACAACACTGTGGGCCTAATTTCTAGTTCTTTATTTTAGGCAGAAGTTAATTAAATATATTTGAAAACATCTAACCCAAGTAGATTCCCTCTTCCACAATATATTATATATTTAGTTTCATATAACATGGGAAATATAATATCCCAAAATTATATAACTGGCATTCTAAGTTTTATAACATTATTTTTACCTCCCTTGTAATCTCTCTCACTTCGCCAGCTCCAGGAAAAGTGGTAAATCTGACGGTTGAGGCCTTTAACTATTCAGCAGTAAACCTGATTTGGTACTTACCTCGTCAACCAAATGGCAAAATTACCAGTTTCAAGATTAGTGTCAAACATGCCAGAAGTGGGATAGTGGTGAAAGATGTCTCAATCAGAGTAGAGGACATTTTGACCGGGAAATTGCCAGAATGCAACGTAAGTATTAAGGAACACTTTCTATGTCTCAACAATTTTAAATAAATGTATATCTTGAAGTTTCCTGCATCTGAGATACTATAAATTTTGCCAAAGTATAGTGACTTCATTACTTATAGTATTAGGTCATAGTATTATATTACACACAATTGGCTATATTCAAGGTAGAATAAATGAAGGGTTTGAGATTCAAGAGTAAGATGTCAGAATTGCTTAGGGAGCTCAGGAAAGACTCCTGACAGGACTGGCATTTGTGATAGGCCTGGAGAAAGGATTGGTGGAGATTGTCTGAGAGACGTATTTTGGGTGAAGGATACTTTATAAAGCTCTGTAGGAAGAAAGTGTAGGCTATCACTAGTAACAAGATGTGACAGGAAGTGAGGGGATAGGCATTGTCAAGGTTAAGTTTGTGGAAGTAGATTTTTGTTGTGCATTTCTTTGGTGAAAAATTTGTTATTATTCTAGTTACCAACGGGAAATCCCTAGAAGTACTGTAATAATGCTCTTCTAAAAATAATTTTGTTGTTCTTTTGATAATATTGATGGAGAAACAGCCAAACAAAATTTTGTTTTAAATACTTGAATTTTTACACATTTCTAAATCTTCTTTGTAAAATTTGGATATATTCTAATATATAGAAACACGTATCCACACACACATGAACATATACTCACATACACAACATATACTTCATCTTTTGAGTGCTTATGAGAAAAAAATGTGTTGATCAAATAGTTTGATCAACTATTTGAAAGAAACATTTGAAATTTCACAAACAGGGAAAAATTTCAACTCTTTGGCTCTTGTACTTATAACATGAATTTTTAAAATTCTTACTAATGATTTTGCTATAGTTTTACCTTTGTTTTAAGCCACTTGAAATCCTATTCATAAGAACGATTAAGGTATAAAGAATGCAATATGTACATTATGCTTTAAAACTGTAGGCATAAATGGGTATAATTCTAGGGTATAATCTAGCAGATTTTTCCATAACTTGAATAGGCTAATTTGTTAAAATTAACCAATCATACATATATCACCAATTTAATAATAATATTTATAGTATAAATGGAAAATAAATAAATTTCTTATGTCTATGAAGAGACAACACATTTTCCATTGATATTTATTTTATTCACTAGGAGAATAATGAATCTTTTTTATGGAGTACAACCAGCCCTTCTCCAACCCTTAGTAGAGGTACGCCTCCAACGCGTACCACATATTCATCGAACACATGGGCACGGAGTAAGATAAGCTCGGTGTGGAAAGAACCTATCAGTTTTGTAGTGACACATTTGAGACCTTATACGACATACCTTTTTGAAGTTTCTGCTGTTACAACGGAAGCAGGTTATATTGATAGTACGATTGTCAGAACACCAGAATCAGGTATGGTTTCTATTTATTTCATGTGTGTGTGGGAAAAAAGTTAAATTATATATAGAAAGGTCTTTCTTTTTTATTTGATACAGATCTTTTTGTTAAAATATTTCTTCCCTTCCAATAACTTTCCTCCCTAATGACAGATAATAGAAACCTTACCTGGAGGATCTTCAATTTCACTTCTCTTTTGTGACATAAGCATCTAGAAGCAGAAATATTTGAAATGATTCTTGAGCTAATGACCGTGATTCTAAGATCAGCTTTTATTCTGTGATCTCAGCATTTATTCATAATCATCCCCTCCCTTCTGCATCTTCTATGATCACCTATACCCTTCTCTCACTGCTACTGCTACCACCAAATGTAAAGATATCACCTGCAGTAGCATAAATATCATGCAATTAACATTTCAGTATTAAATAAGAACAGTAGTTAAAAATATACATATTAGTATCCTATTTGCCCTGCAGTTTCCTCATGTGAAAAAAGGAGACTGCAATAGTATGTTTCTTATGGCAGTGGTGTTAGGATTCAATGAGTATAATTAGATATTATTACTACTAAATTCAAAAAGCACATACTATTTCTAGATATGAAAATATCTATTTGATTATGGTAGTATGGATATATATATACATATATATGTAAATTTATGTAGATACTGACATAATTCCATACTAAATATATAGTATCAAACATTCAGTTTTGATTGGTAATATTTGAAGTTACTGGAAATTATTGCTGATAGAGTAATTTCACTAAAGCATAGTATTTTCTTTTCTGGTAACATAGCTGTTAGTTTTTATCATTTCATTACATGTAAGTTTTAAGTTTTTTTTAATTTAAATAACCATCTTTGAATCATAGCATTTTCTTTTTCCATATCCCTTACTTCTTCTTATACAATAAAAACAAATTCATGAGGGTCACCCAAAGTGAGATTTAGTAGGCACAAAATTTGTTTTGAAAAAAAAAATTGAAACGTTTCATTTCAATTTAAAGAAAGGGTAAAATGTAGAAACATCTATGAAAAATAGACTATTTTAAATTGTCATTATTAATTTTATATGTTACCAGTGTTACATTAGAATCTTCTAACTATAGGCTATAAGTATTCTCTCAGAACCAAGTACAAATATTGATACAAAAATAAAGATCATTACCAATAGATTCTGAAGGTTGTTATTTCCTTGACGCTTTTACTTGTATCTACCAGGAGTTGAGTGTGTATCAAGTCAGATACAGGCCTGATGAATGCAATATATATGTACATATACATGTTGCAGGACAGTGTACCTCTACACTGAACTATAAAGAAATGAAACTTAGATGCAGCATTAAATAAGACTAGTAATTGTTGCAAATAAGTTGATCTTATGATCCAGCATGTCTTATTCAAATTCAATTTATTCTATTTTTCCCTTTCTTTTTTTTTTAATTTTTCCTTTTCTTAAGTTAAGAAAACCCTTTGATATTATTGTGATATTTTATTTTTGACTTTATATTTTATTATGTATATTTAATCAGGTAATTTTTAATTTTAAATATATATATCTGTTCTGTTATTTATTCATTTTTCCCCTGCGATTATTTTAGTACCTGAAGGACCACCACAAAACTGTGTAACAGGAAACATTACGGGAAAATCCTTTTCAATTTCATGTGATCCACCAATGACAGTAACCGGGAAATTTAGTTATAGAGTTGAATTATATGGGCCATCAGGTAAGTCTTAATTGGTTTTGTGTTTACCTTTTAGAATAAGAATATTATAAAATATGTTACTGGTATCAATTTTTTAAAAGTATCAGACTACTTTTATTATTTTTTAATTTTTTTTATTGATTTCAGATAGGAAGGGAGAGGGAAAGAGAGATCGAAACATCAATGCTGAGAGAGAATCATTGTTCGGCTGCCTCCTGCACGCCCCCTACTGGGGGTCGAGCCCGCAACCGGGCATGTGCCCTTGACCAGAATTGAACCAGGACCCCTTCAGTCCACAGGCTGACGCTCTATCCACTTAGCCAAACGGGCTAGGGCAAAAGTATCAGACTCCTTTTTAAAAGACCCTGTAAATGAAGCAAATAATTGAAAAGTAATAAGGAGGGTGAGGCTCTTTGAAATTTTTGTTTAAAACCATAAATAAGTATAAGGATGGCAAAACACTATCCATGTTTTATATTTGTTGAGGACCAGCTGAACTAGAGATAACCCCTCATGAAGAAAAGTATTAGAGGAGATATACAGAGACCCCCCCCCCCCCAGCTGATAGCCTAATTTTGAAAATGAAATGTATTTTAATAAACACTGCCTTTATAATTATTCAGTGTGTATACATTTTTTGGGACACCCTATATGTCTTCATATTTGAACAAGAGGACCTTGAGTTATTCTGATTACAAATATATTTATGAAGAACAATAGTCTTAGATGATACTAAATCAGATTTCTGCTTAGAATAAGGACTCCATTTCTAATAGTTAGAGCTCTCTGAAAATAATATGAGCAGCTTTATGAAGTGTCAAGTTCTCCATCTTTGTGAACAAGGAGAACTTTGGCATCCATTTGTCATAGATATTTCGAGGGATTGAAATACTGTATTATTGGAAGTAAATTAAAAAAATCTAAAATTGTTTCCTAATTTGAGATCTATGGTTATACAAGAGAAGTTAAATTCAAATAACAATGAAATAACATAAACTCACATATTATTATTTATTTGGAAGAATGAAAAAATAGAGTTCCAAATTATTCATTGTGAAACTTTTATGAATCATACGAGTAACCTTTATTTTTCATTCCTAAGTACCCATGCTCCTAAAATTCTGAAATACTTGCAGTTTTTAAAAAACAGTAGTCCTTTCTTCTCCTCCCAACCCTTTCTTCTTTCTGGAGCACAGAGACAAGCACAATACAGAGACATGCCTTTTCTGTATGTTTTGGCATTATTTTACAAAACATTGACAAGGTAATCTTTCATCTGTGAAACTGATAAATCAAGTGAGATGCATTTAGTAACGATTGCATTTAATAACATGGAGGTCATGAACAATCTTGGCAAGAACAGTTATGATGACGTGTGGGGGTAAATGACTGAGTGGGATGGATTCAAGAGAATGGGAGAACATTGTAGTAGTGGGTAACAGACAACTCTTGAGTTTTGCTGCAAAGTGAAGCAATGAAAGGAAGCAGAGAGTGGGGGTAGGGGTAAGCAGAGTTAACAGGGTTTCCCCCCGACAAAGAACAAATAATTCTTGTTTGTTGTCTGATGTGAATGAAGAAAGAAACAAAAATTTAATGATATAAGAAAGGCAAGAATTATTGGGAAGATGTTTTTGTGTAGGCAGAAGTTGAGATCTTTTGCTTAAATGTAGGGATTGGTTTGAGTTAAGAATACAGATGGTTTGTCCATAGTGACAGACTGCAAGGCAGAATATTTGAGTACAGAGGCTGGTAAATAGGTAATTTTGTTGGTGGGAGTCTGTGGCAGATATTTTCTGATTGATTTAATTTTTTTAATGGAATGAGAAGCAAGACTATCAACTGTGAGTGATGATGGAGCAGACAGCCTTTTGAACTCGGAGGAGGGAATAGAAAGTACAAAATAATCATGTAGAAGAACAGAGGGAGTGATAGGACTGGGAATTGAGTAAGGTACTAGGCACCATTACGGGCTCATTTGAGATGTGGTAATGAATAAAGTGATACCAGTCAGAGTGGTTTGTGTTTTTCTCCAGCTCCCTTCAACAAGAGAAGGGCAAGGGAATTGAAGACTTATGTCAGGCAGTGATTATAATTGACAGAGACATTGAGGAAATCAAGTGGTAAAGGACCAAACAAAATAAAATAGAAGAGGTGGTAAAATAAATGGGTTGGAGGTCTCAATGGACTCAAAGAATTGTTGTTTCAGGGTTCTAGAGTAAGTGAATAGGAGATAAGAAAGAATGATCGGAAAGTTGAATGAAATTGAGATTATGGAGGATTTGCAGTTATTGGTAATAGTGATAACCAAGTTATGGCCATGAGAGAGTGACTGAGTTAGCGTGCAGGACTAGATTACTTAAAAAGAGCTCAAAGTAGTTTAAGGATTATCTCTAGGAATATTGAAATCACTACAAATTAAGATGGTAGCATTACAGAAGGTGGCATTGAAGCCGTAGGTACTCCATCCAGAATGAAGGTGAGTGACCCTGGGGTTAGAAGATCACTACAACCTGAGGGCTAGTGGATTTCATTCTAACATCATATTTAAAACTGTAGGATTTTATAAGGAGGGAGCTAGAATGGCCTATGACAGGGTAATGAGGAACAAGGAAAACACCACATCTGAAGGGCTAATCATGTCGTAAGGTCTCTGGGGAAAAATAGACTACCACTATTGGGAAGGCTGAAGGGAACAGAAGTGGCCCTTAGAGGGGACAGTCAGATTTCAACTACAGCAAGAAGGTGAAAGAACTATTTAGTGGAAAAGTTCAGGATTTAAGAAATTTTGACGCTGGACTACTTAAGGAATTTTTCTCAGAAGCTAAATTAGAAATGTTTTCTAAATAAAATTTTCTATAGATGAAAATGAGAATATTTAGCATTATAATTGACTAAATTTGAATACAAAATACTGTCACCGATTTTTTAAAATGAATCTTTATTGTTGAAAATATTACATATGTCCTCTTTTCCCCCCATTACCCTTTCCCACCCCTCCCCCACCCCCAAGCCTTCACCACCCACTGCCTGTGTCCTTGGGTTATGCATATAAGCATATGAGTTCATTGGTTGATCTCTTGCCCCCTCTACCCTCCCTTGCCTTCCCTCTGAGATTTGACAGTCTGTTCGATGTTTCTGTGTCTCTGGGTGTATTTTTGTTCATCAGTTTATGTTGGTCATTAGATTCCACATATGAGTGAGATCATGTGATACTTATCTTTCTCTGACTGGCTTATTTTGCTTAGCATAATGCTCTCTAGGCCCATCCATGCTGTTGCAAATGGTAAGAGTTATTTCTTTATATAGCTACATAGTATTCCATTGCATAGATGTACCATAGTTTTTTGTTTTTTTAAAATATATTTTATTGATTTTTTACAGAGAGGAATAGAGAGTTAGAAACATCGATGAGAGAGAACCATCGATCAGCTGCCTCCTGCACATGCCCTACTGGGGATGTGCCCGCAACCAACTTACATGCCCTTGACTGGAATTGAGCCTGGGACCCTTGAGTCCTCAGACCGATGCTCTATCCACTGAGCCAAACCGGTTAGGGCTGTACCACAGTTTTTTAATCCACTCATCTGCTGATGGGCACTTAGGCTGTTTCCAAATCTTAGCTATGGTGAATTGTGCTGCTATGAACATAGGGGCGCATATATCCTTTCTGATTGGTGTTTCTAGTTTCTTGGGATATATTCCTAGAAGTGGGATCACTGGGTCAAATGGGAGTTAATTTTTAATTTTTTGAGGAAACTCCATACTGTTTTCCACAGTGGCTGCACCAGTCTGCATTCCCACCAGCAGTGGAGGAGGGTTCCTTTTTCTCCACATCCTTGCCAACAATTGCCGTTTGTTGATTTGTTAATGATAGCCATTCTCACAGGTGGTACCTCATTGTCATTTTGATTTGCATCTCTGGAATGATCAGTGACTTGGAGCACTTTTTCATATGCCTTTTGGCCTACTGTATGTCCATTTTGGAGAAGTGTCTATTGAGGTCCTTTGCCCATTTTTTGATTGGATTGTTTATCTTCCTTTTGTTAAGTTGTATGAGTTCCCTATAAATGTTGGAGATTAAACCCTTAAGGGTGATAACATTGGCAAATATGTTCTCCCATGCAGTGGGCTTTCTTATTGTTTTTTTGATGGTTTCTTTTGCTGTGCAGAAGCTTTTTATTATGATGTAGTCCCATTTGTTTATTTTCTCTTTAGTTTCCATTGCCCTAGGAGCTATATTGGTAAAAATATTGCTAGGACATATGTCTGACATTTTGCTGCTTACAGATTCTTCTAAGATTTTTATGGTTTCCTGTCTTATGTTTAAGTCCTTTATCCATTATAAGTTTGTTTTTGTGTATGGTGTAAGTTGGTGGTCTAGTTTCATTTTATTTATTTAGTTTTTTGCATGTGTCTGTCCAAGTTTCCCAACACCATTTATTGCAGAGACTGTCTTGACTCCATTGTATCCTCTTGCCTCCTTTGTCAAATATTAAATGAGCATAATGACTTCGATCGATTTCTGGGTTCTCTGTTCTGTTCCATTGGCCTATTTGCCTGTTTTAGTGCTAGTATCAGGTTGTTTTAAATACAGTGGCTTTGTAGTACAACTTGAAATCTGGTATTGTGATTCTTCCAACTTTGTTTTTCTTTCTCAAGATTGCTGCAGCTATTCAAAGTCTTTTTTTGATTCCATGTAAATTTTTGGAGAATTTGTTCTAGCTCTGTGAAATATGCTGTTGGTATTTTAATAGGAATTGCATTGAATCTACAGATTGCCTTGTGTAGTATTGACATTTTAATGATGTTGATTCTACCAATCCATGAGCATGGTATATTCTTCCACTTGCATATATCTTCCTCTATTTCTTTTTTCAGTGTCTTGTAGTTTTCCAAATGCAGGTCATTTACCTCCTTGGTTTAGTTTATTCCTAAGTATCTAAATTTTTTTGTTGCAGTGGTAAATGGGGTTGTTTGTTTGTTTTCCCTTTCTGAGAGTTCATGTATAAAAATGCCATTGATTTCTGGGTATTAATTTTATATTCTACTATGTTGATAAATTGATTTATTAAATCTAGTAGTTCTAATGTATTCCTTTAAAATATGTCAAAAAATAACATGGGAATTGAACAGGACTTTATAATTTAATAAAAGTCATTTAAACACTGGATAATTTTCATGTTATTTTTGTTATTTTAATTAAATTGATAACAATGCACGATTAAACTAAATGTTTAAAATATATTTAAATGTTATAGTGCCCTGACCAGTATGCTCAGTGCTTAGAGCATTGCCCATGCATGGAAAGGTCGTGGGTTTGATTCCCAGTCAAGGACATGTAGCTGGTCTGAACGTTTGATCCAGGCCACAGTCGGGGCAGGTGCGGGGGGCAACCAATTGATGTGTCTCTCTCACATCATGTTTCTCTCTCTCTCTCTCTCTCCCCCCTTCCCCCATACCTTCTTCTCTTCCACTCTCTCTAAAAAAAAAAATCAATGGAAAAAATATCCTCTGGTGAGGATTAACAACAAAAATAAATTGTATTAAAAAACAATGCACAAGTTAGCACTTTAAATGCTGTTCTTGGCTGTATCCTTTTATGTGAGAATGATTACATGTTTGATGAGAAAATAATCCACAGGTATCTTATTTCGCTTTTTTCAGGTCGGATTTTGGATAACAGCACAAAAGACCTTAAGTTTGCATTCACTAACCTAACACCATTTACAATGTATGATGTATATGTTGCTGCAGAAACCAGTGCAGGGATGGGACCCAAATCAAATATTTCAGTATTCACTCCCCCAGAAGGTAAGAACACCTCCTTTAGTGTATTAATTAGATGTTTTTGCTCTGCTTGTGAATTTTGTTGCATTGGTTAAACATTATATTACAAGCTATTTGGCTTATATAGGGTGTCCCAAAAAATGTACACCCACACTTTGAATAATTATAAAATCAGTGTTTATTAAAATACATTTCATTTTCAAAATTGAGCTTCCAGCTGTTGATGTGTGTATACATTTTTTAGGACACCACATATGTATTTAATTCATGTTATTTCCTTATCAGGTGGCTACCTAGTACATTCTAAACATATGTTCCTCAGAACATTGAACCCATAGTATACTTCATAATAAGAGGTTAGGAAACACACTACATGCAGTAACAGACCTGTTCACAATGAATATTGGCAAAACCTCAAGAAATCTTAAACAAACATACATTTAACATTGTTTAACTCACATTATTTGATGTAGAATATATATTTTTTCACAGATTCATGTTCAGAGGAATCCATATCCCCAATGCCTGTAACAAAATATGTTTATAATGAAGAGGATATTTTAAGCAAGTAAGGAATCCTAGAGGGTGCATAATACTAATTTACAAACATATACTGAAATTATTAAAATAATATTTCTCCTAAAGAAACACTTTTATTTGTATCTTGTAAACATCACAGTTTTAGGTGAAGTATAGTGTTTAAAAAATGTTACCATACTCTTTTATAACATTTTTTTTTTTTTTTGGCTTACAGCAAACTTGTTAATTGTCTTTATTTCTATTTAGGGATTGTATAACTGAAAAGAATACAATAATTTTTTCACAATCACATTAACACTTTAAAAATTTAACATACAGTAACATAAATTAAATACATTCATATGGGAACATACATGGGCATGCATACAGCACACACACACATACACACACACACATACAAGTTTGGTCATGAATTCATCAGAAATATCCAATCAAGTACTTCACCATTAGAGGGCAGCAACCATTAGGGAATTATGCACTTCCCTTCAAAAAACAGTAAAAGGATATTTTATTGTTTAAAGAACCTACAAATTATGTTTTATATCACTTTCAAATGAAAATGCTAATGCATATATGGTTTCAATACACTGATTAAGAAAGAGATGCATACGCATAAGGAAAATGTTCTCACTTTTTTCTATTAATTTTTTTCCTTCGAGTTTCTATTAGAAGAGGTTTCGCTTTTATATGTCTTCTCCACTAGACCTTAATTTTTCCTAGTCTCCACCTAAAAACTGCTCTTAAGCATTTCCAGGAAAGCGGGACAGATTTATGGATAGCTGTCAAGCACAGCAGAGCTCCCTGGCCCTCATCACACCAGAGTGCTTGGGTTTGATTGCAATAGCATTTTCTCAACCAAGCTTATTGACCAGCTAATTTCTCTTCTTATGTTATACAATTAAATAATTAAAAACTTTTGTCTTCTTTCAAGTCAAACCAGTTTTGGTGCTTCTGAATCCACAATATAAGATTGTTTTATTGTCATCGTTCTTGGCCTACAGAGAAATAGAAAATATTGCTACATACAATCCCATGTTGTTTATTTTGAATATCATGTAAACATTCATTTCCCTTTTATTTCTGTATTTTTAGTCACAAAATAATAAGTATAATTTTAGGGACATTGTTCAATATATTTTACATGAGTTATTTTTCACACCGAATTATTTTCAATAAATGACTCTTATTTGCCCTGTGCAGCAAACAGTTTACCCTGAGTTTTATCTTACTATCTTCTTGGGCTACTCACCATATAGACCACATCTGTTTGGATCTCAGGAGGGTCCATTGACAACAGGTGGACTCCAGCAAGGGCACGAATGACATGGTTCTTAACTTCTGCATGCCAGCCTTCCTCCATGGAGTGCTTGGGGATGGCTCAACCTTAGGAAGGGCTTCGCTGGAATACTCTATCTAATGCAGTGAATTAGCTTTCTACTTCTGACAAATTAATGAATCCTGGTCCCACTAGTTAAACTTTGTAATATAGGAATCTTTAAACTATATGAGAATACTCTAATAACTCATAAGAACTATATTCTTTCAATTAAAATTGATCTCTCAATTTTAGATGATTTTTTTCATTTATTGATACAACAGAGAATAGATTTTAAAGTTACTCAATTTATTTTCTTAATTTAGATTACTCTATTTTCTTCTCCATATTTTAAAGTAGGTTATAAATCTGTTTAAAAATTCATTAAGAAAAACTTTAAAAAAAATCTTTATTGTTGAAAGTATTACATATGTCCCTCCTCTTCCCCCCATTGATCCCTTCTAGCCTGCCCCCTGCCCCCTACCCCAGGCCTTCAGCATCGTATTGTCTGTATCCATGGATTATTCATATATGCATGCAAGTTCTTTGGTTGATCCCTTCCCAACTAGCACCCTCCCAAGCCTTCCCTATGAGATTCCTCAGTCTGTTCATTAGGACAAATTTTTAAAACAACTGGGGCTCTAACAAATCTCTATATATTCATAGAAAAATGTTGAATTTACTCATATAGAAAATAATATCTGCAATTACATTGCAATTGGGCTGATTTCATTAACACTGAGAATATTATGGTCTACAGTATACTTTGATTATCAAAGAAAAATCAATGTCATGTTATATCAGTGGTACTATATATTTCATAAGATTCCTATATTTGCTTAATATTTTACTGAACAGATTTTTACATAAGAATGAAAAAGATGATTTTGAGGAAAAAATGGTAACTTAATAATCTCCAATGCTACAAAATGTCATGAGTTACCCAAATAAGAGACAGCAGAATGAGACAGTGCTCCTGAACATAGACAGCAGCATTTTCTTATTATTTGTATGGGGCTTAAAAAACCTTAAGTGCCCTGGCTGGTGTTGCTAATTGGTTAGAGCCTCTGTCTGCTCTGCAGGTTTGATTCCTGGTCAAGGGCATGTACCTGGTTTGCAGGTCAGGATGCATGTGGAAGGCAACCAATCAATGTATCTCTCTCTTTTTTAAAAAATATACATTTTATTGATTTTTTACAGAGAGGAAGGGAGAGAGATAGAGAGTTAGAAACATCGATGAGAGAGAAACATCGATCAGCTGCCTCCTGTACACTCCCCACTGGGGATGTGCCCGCAACCAAAGTACATGTCATTGACCGGAATCGAACCTGGGACCCTTGAGTCCGCAGGCTGATGCTCTATCCGCTAAGCCAAACCGGTTAGGGCTGTTTATTTTATTTTATTTTTTTTAGAGAGAATAGAAGGAAGGGAGAGGGAGAGAAAGAGAAACATTGATGTGAAAGAGATACATTGAGCCTTGACTGGTTTGGCTCAGCTGATAGAGCGTTGGCCTGCGGACTCAAGGGTCCCAGGTTCGATTCTGGTCAAGGGCATGTACCTTGGTTGCGGGCACATCCCCAGTGGGGTGTGTGCAGGAGGCAGCTGATCAATGTTCCTCTCTCATCCATGTTTCTAACTCTCTATCCCTCTCCCTTCCTCTCTGTACAAAATCAATAAAATACATTTAAAAAATAAAATAAAATAAATAAATGGAAAGGATTAACAACAAAAACAAATCTTAAGTAAACTTTGTTGCTTCAATATCGCCTAATAACGTTTCTATCACTAGTGTCACATGTTTTGTAATGAGTTTAACATCATATAAAGCAGACAAAGTATTGGAAGCCATATTTACTTCCCCATAAATAGGCTATAGAAGTTAGACTTTTGTTTTCATTGATTTCAACTTGCTACTTTCTGCAAATGGCAGTAAAACTTTTTGTAGGGAAATCACTGAGAGACTGTCAACTTTGTGTTTTCCAGGATTTTCAGTGACATTTATTTTTCAATAGTTTTTGGTGTTTTTTTTTTACAATGTGTTTCTAACGGAAATTGAATTTGCTCCATAATGGTAAAAATTATTTTAATGTATTTTCTTTACCCAGTGTCATTTGTCTTCATTTTGTTTTTTCTTATAGTTTTTTATTTGAAAACTTAAAGTCATTTGGAGTATTTTTTACCAACCATAAATCAACTCTGTTTCTCATTTATTAGCAAAATTTATAGATGTATTGACTTGAGTTTTATATAGTCCCTGTAGACAATACAATAACTAATTGCCTTGTGTGTCTGATTTTCTTTAGTTAATTTGGTATCAATATTAAAGGAGCTTGATCTAATCCACACTTCTCTGGTTTCCCTATAAAGAATTTGTGGCATAACAGATCAAATATCTTTCTGAAGATAAGATACAATCCTGTCTACTTCATTTCCTTTATCCCCTAAGCTTTTTCTTCTTTTATAAGAAAAAAGAAATATAGGTATGCAGTCATTCTGATACAAGTTTGGGGTACATTTTTAAGGTAATATAGAACCATTTAATTTTTACTTGAATCATAATTTTAGGCATTAGTACCATGGGGCAATACTTACTAAGTTATATTAAAACATCTTCTAAATTAGAAGATGAAGAAACTATCTGCTACTATCCTAAGTTGTCTAACTAAGAGATGGCCAACTACGTACTGGGTAGTTTGTGGTATCCTACTACATTAATGTGTTACATCAAATGGAACTAACTGTTACATCAAATTTCACTTATTTTCTAGGAGGCAAGGTTTAGCTGCCTGATTAATTTGATTAATGCAATCATTAAATTGGCTTCATAAATTGAGATTCCACTACATGGATTCAAATTAAATAGAAAAATGACCTTTCTCTTCTATAAATATGTTATGCAATACTGGCTAAGGTTTTATCTACATCGTGATGCCAAAATACAATATGGAAGAAAGGTGGAAGGGGAGCATTGCTAATTAAATGGCCGAGTTGTTTTCGCACTGCTCAGTCAATTGGAAAGTTTCTCCACCTTTGAAAAATATGTGTTGGTAAATATGATAATAAAAAAATAAGCTCTGGGGACAATATCTGTTAATGAAATAAAACTTGTATAAGAGGTGACCTGTGCAAAATGTTTTATCTATCTTATTTCTCCCTCTGTCTCCAGGTGCTCAGAGCAGTGTGACTATATGAGTGCTCTGTTGAGTGATGAACGAATGAATCAATGATAGTGGGATCCTAGCCTAGAACTCTTCCTCCATCCTTCAAAGGACAGTTTTCTCTTGAGATTAGAACTCCTGTGGGAGATCAATCTAAAGAGTTATCCTTCTATTTAGAGATATACCAAAATGTTTTTAGAATAGAAGATTCAAAGGATTAGCAAATTACAGATGTATAGCCATGTATCTCCACTTTTCAGCACAGATTTTACCCTCATTGGACACTAGAATCTTGCCTGCAATAATCAAATAATATGTTCTTTGGCCTGAACGAATTATTCATCCATCTAGCCATGAACTATTCAAAAAAATGTTTAGAAATATTTATATTATTACAATATCTAGAGAGCTTTTTAAATGGTTATGTCATAGAGATAAAAAAAAAAAACCACTCTTAATTACTGGATGAAAACGCCATATAGTTTAATTTCATGGTTAATTTAAGCATGATTCTATTCACTAATTATAGATAACTAGAGGCCTGGTGCATGAAATTCATGCATGGGGGAGGGGGTGTGCCTCAGCCCAGCCTGCACCCACTCTAATCTGGGACCCCTTGGGGGATGTCAGACTGCTGGTTTAGGTCCAATCAGGCCTAAACCAGAAATTGGACATCCCTCTCACAATCCGGGACTGCTGGCTCCTGACCTCTCACTTGCCTGCCTGCCTGACTGATTGCCCTTAACTGCTTCTGCTTGCCAGCCTGATCACCCCCTAACCATTCCCCTGCTGGCCTGATCACCCCCAACTGCCCTCCTCTGCAGGCCTGGTCCCCCCCAACTGCCCTCCCCTGTAGGCCTGGTTGTACCCAACAGCCCTCACTTGCAGGCCTGGTTGCCCCAACTGCCCTCTCCTGCTGGCCCAATCACTCCCAACTGCCCTCCCCTGCTGGCCTGTTTGCCCCCAACTGCCCTCCCCTGCTGGCCTGATTGCCTACAACTGCCCTCCCCTGCTGGCCATCTTGTGCTCCACCTTGTGGTGGCCATCTTGTGACGATGTGAGGGCGGCTACCTAGGGTTTTATTATATAGGATATTTATGGAAGTTGTGACATTAATTTTTAATTTCTTTATGTTATCTTAAAAGGGAACAGAGTAACTTTCCATTCATATTATACCCCTCACCCCCTTAAGGTGTCTCTCTTCTAAGTGAAATTTGCTAAACCTTTACTAATGTGAAATACCTCAGCTTAGGAAAATGAATTTAATATGTTACCACATCCTGATTATAAAGGACAATATTTTTCTGTCATATTTTTTTTTGAACCAACATTTTATAAATTCTCTTGAATCACTTGTTCTTTACAGAAACCTTACATAATAACAAGAATGATATAATTACACCAGTTTTATAGATAAGGAAACTGGATGGAGGGGTGAATTTGTAACCACACATTGAGTTATAAGAAAAATGTGGACAAAGGCCCAGGGCAGTTTGTCCTTGATCCATTACTCCTTTGCACTGGAGTTTTCCTAGATGTCACTTTTGGTGACTTTATATCTAGAACAGCGGTTCTCAACCTGTGGGTCGCGAACAATGAAAATACATCCTGCATATCAGATATTTACATTACGATTCATAACAGTAGCAAAATTACAGTTATGAAGTAGCAACGAAAATAATCTTATGTTTGGGGGTCACCACAACATGAGGAACTGTATTAAAGGATCGCGGCATTAGGAAGGTTGAGAACCACTGATCTAGAACTTGTTTTAAGTATTTGGTGCTTAGTCTTAAACCAATTAGTTTGTCCCTGTTTTTCTTTACTGAAATATGTAAGGGTGCCTGAAATTTGAGACTCATGTAATTAATTTTTAAAACCAGCAGATAAAAATCAATCAACTCTTCAAACAATCTTATGTAATAAATTAAATGATAGCTTAATTGAATTTACCAACTACACTTCATTGTATTCCAAGTCTTCTAGATGTTGTTTTTTGATATGTTGTTTTAATTTGTATAAAGCCTTCAAGGTTTCTATTGTGCATTAATCATCCAAAAATAGCTTCGTCTGGGAAGTTATTTTTTATTAATGTAATTATTGGAACAAATATTATGACATTTTGATTTGGGGAAATTATTCCACGTTATCTTATTTCTTATTTTCATTTTTGAGAACAATGTGTAGAAATTTAACTTTAAATACCCATGTATTTAAAGATTCTTATACATATTTAATTATTGATAAATTAATAATTGTTTTAGCCTGTTTTCTAGATGAATTTCTTATAGATCTTAAATCATTAAGAATTTGGAAAATTTTTTAAAATTTGAAAATGTATTTTAAAATTTCCACATCCTTATTTTTATTTACATTTTTAGTGCCAGGTGCAGTATTTGATTTACAGCTTGCAGAAGTAGAAGCCACACAAATAAGAATTACTTGGAAGAAACCACGACAAGCAAATGGAATCATTAACCAATACCGAGTGAAAGTGCTAGTTTCAGAGACCGGAGTAATTTTGGAAAATACTTTGCTCACGGGAAAAGAGGTATTGCCTTTTATTTTACATCTTAGTGAGCCCTTTCTACTTGGTCCTGGCACAGGATAACTTGGAAGGTTTTCAATCACTCACACAAAATACTTGACAAGCTTTATAGTAGAATGTGAAGTAAATTTGGGCCTTGTTGATAATCTAGTTGGATTATATTTCATTTTAAGACAGATATTATTAGTGAAATGTTATTATTCTCTTTTAGCATATGAAAAATTTTAATTGAGCAATTAAGTAGGCAAAAGGTCCTTTCATATATGAATATTATTATGGTAATTCAGTTGATAATTGTTTCAAAACTCCTATTATAATTTAAATAATCCTACTAAGGTTGTGTTTGCAATTGGAACAACAATAGGTACAGTCATTTTAGTAGCTATTGTTGACAAATGGTTATGTCTGTTTAGCCTTAGGAGAGTAAATTTCTCAGAGCTGCCTTATTTTTAAAAAAGTACATTTTATTAAAGAAATCAAATAACTAAATAAAAGAAATTAAATCATATTATAGATGTAAAATAAGAGGACAATGTTTTTGTTCTGGCCACCCTGGAAGTCTTGCTTTTTGCCTTTGTTTCTGTTAGGAAGCACAAGCAGCTCTGACTTTCCTTCACTGATTTTATTCACCTCTTCCAGCCAGCTCTTCACTGTGAGGACCCCTAAGCCTCCAGACTCGTCAAATCCAGATTGTTGTTTTTAATTGAAATTATTGGGGTGACATTGGTTTTCAAACCATACAGGTTTCAAGTGTACAACTCAATCAAATATCACCTGCACACTGCTTGCTGGGAGCACATAGAATAAACAAACTTAGGACCAGTGAGTTCACCTGGAGGACTAGGTTGGAGGCACTGCCCAATGGTTATTCACCAATTGGCTTCTACTGTTTTGGTTCAAAATCACTGCTTTTTCCAATTGTGCTGTTATTTTCCCCACATGCTAGTCACTCGGTTTCTGACCCCAGCCTTCCTCTGTTTCTGGCATCTATTTGAAAGTTGACTCTTCTAGGTGCTCAATGCACTCTGGCTGCCCAGGATTATTACTCCGAGTTGTTCACCATCTCCAGACTAGGGTTCAGTTTTAATCCTGTGTTGACTCCTTTCTTTTGTGAAAAGATGTTGAGTTCTACTTTCTTTGATACTCGGGTAAAAGGCAAAAACTCAACCCTTTACTCCTGCCAAAAAGGTCTTATATTAGATAGATAGCTCTTTGGGGATGTAGGTGACAGGTCTCTCACACTTGGTTTTCTCTTGAAGGGAAGAGGAGGTTCTAGAGAGACTTGTTTGTAATTTTGCTTCTGTCTATATGATCTGCAATCCCTGTGACACAGTAGGGAGAACATGAGCTTTGGAACCATATAAATCTGGGTTTTGTCACTTACTGGGCTGTACTGGGCAGAGAAGTTAAGAGCATGGACATAAGAGAGAATACTTGGGTTTAAACCTTAGTTTTGTCTTTATGGACAAATGAACTTTGAGCAAGTTGGCCTGGCATCTCTGAACTTCAGTTTCCTTTTCTCTAAGATAGGGATTATAAGACTTCCTAAAACAAAAGGTTGGTAATAAGGATTTCATAGATTAATGTATGTAAAGAACTTAGAACTGTAAGTTGGCAGGTAGTAAGTACTGTGCTAAATAATTGTGACTTATTGTGATTATATTTTAGCATAGATTTTTCTTTTTTAAAAAAAAATTAAAAAAAATTTAAATTACAGTTAACATATAATGTTATATTAGTTTCAGGTGCATAGCATAGTGATTAAGCATTTATATAATTTATGAAGTGATCACCCAGATAAGTCTAGTACCCATCTGATACATGGTTATTACAGAGTTATTGACTGCATTCTCTATGCTGTACTTTACATTCCTGTGACTGTTTTGATAACTGGCAGTTTCTGTTGTGATTATTAATCATGGCATTGGACCATTTGCCTTGGTTGACACTCAATCTTAGTTCCCTTATCATCTCTCGATACAGGAGACATGATACTTTACTTTTGTGATGGTATCTTCTTCATTAGATGGTGTTTGAGTTCACCTTGCAGGGAGACAGATATGGCTAAGGCTCTAAATTCAAACGGGCCAGGATCCTAGCACTGGCTCTGCCCTGTTCTAGGTCAAGAACTTAGACAAATCAACTTTCGGAGACTTGGTGCCCTCATTCTAAAAGCCGGGCTTATATACCCACTTCAGAGAGTGAGGAATATATGAGATAACAGATGAAACCTCTGGGTTAGTGTATTAATTTCTTATCCTTTTCCTTGATGTTGGCACCTGTCTTAGGATGACATTTTTCTTCCAGTCACTCTTTTAAAAAATATATTTTTACTAGAGGCCTGGTGCAAAAAATTCATTCACAGGGGGCCTGCACCCTCTCCAATCTGGAACCCCTGGGGGGATGTCTGATTGCCTCTCATAACCACTCGCCTGCCTGCCTGCCTGATTGCTCCTAACCCTTCTGTCCGCCTACCTGATCACCCCTAACCACCTCTGCCTGCCTGCCTGCCTGATTGCTCCTAACTGCTCCCCTACTGGCCTGTTTGGCCCTAACTGCTCCCCTGCTGACCTGATCGTCCCTAACCACCTCTACCTCGCCTCGCACCCGGGATCCAGGATTCCCTCCTCCGGCTGGCCACAGGCACCTGAGACCTGGGCTTCCCTCCCTCTGGCTGGCCGTAGGCACCCAGGACCCGGGCCAGCTTCGTCTGGGCCGACTGCAGCCACAGGGCACCATGGGCAGGTGGCTTTGCCCGGGCCACAGACACAGGCGCCCAGGACTGCGGGGCAGGCAGATTGTCCCTCTCCTGGGCCACGGGCACAGCCGCTGGTGCCCTGGACCACGGGGCAGGCAGCTTGTCCCTCTTCTGGGCCACAGCCGCTGGTGCCTGGGACGGCGGGGCGTGCAGATTGTCCCTCTCCCGGGGTGCAGGTGCAGGCTCAGCCGCTGGCACCCGGGACCTCGGGGTGTGAAGCTTGTCCCTTTCCCAGGCCACAGCCTGGTTGGTCCCCATTCCTCTCTTGAGAGCTCATTTGTGCCTAGCTGGTCCCCATTCCTCTCTTGTGAGCTCATTTGTGCCTCCCTGGGCCCCAATCCTCTCCCCAGTGTTGAGTGTCTGAGCAGTTAAGGCGTGATGGTGTAAGGGTATGATGACCATTTGCATATAAGCTCTTTATTATATAGGCTTTTTCAATTACAGTTGATGTACAAATTTATATCAGCTTTAGGTGTACAATCTAGTGATTAGACATTTATATAACTTGCAAAGGGATCATCCTGGTAAATCTAGTACCCATTTGATATCATACATAGTTATTACAATATTATTGACTATATTTCCTATACTGCACTTGACATCCCCATGACATTTCTATAACTGCCAATTTGTACTTCTGAATCCCCTTTTTTACCTATTCCCCCAACCTCTTCTAGCAACTATTAAAATGTTCTCTGTATCTATGAGTTTTTTTCTGGTCTACTTCTTCATTTATTTTGTTCATTAGATTTCACACATAAGTGAATTCATATGGTGTTGTCTTCCTCTGTCTGACCTATTTCATGCAGCACAATACCTTTTAAGTCCATTCTTGTTGTCACAGATGGCAAGATCTCACTCTTTTCTTATGGCTGAGTCATATTCTATTGTACATATGCACCACTTCTTTTTTAACCATTCATCAATTTTTAAAATATTTTAATTAATTAATTTTTAATAATCTTTATTGTTGAGAGTATTACAGAAGTCCCCCTTTCCATCCTCATTGCCCCCCTCTCCTGGGTTCCCATCCCACCTTCACCACCCTACTATCTGTGTCCATAGGTAATGCATGTATCCATATAAGATCTTTGGTTAATCTCTTCCCTCCTCCTCCCCCACTTCCCTCTGAGATTCCTCAGTCTATTCCATGTTTCCATACCTCTGGTTCTATTTTATTCGTTAGATTGCTTGTTTGTTTATTTTGATTTTTTGATTCAATTGATAGATATGTATTTATTGGCATTTTATTGTTCATAAATTTTCTTCTTCTCCTTCTCCTCCTCCTCCTCCTCCTTCTTCCTTCCTCCTTCATCCTTCCTCTTCCTTCTTTCTTTCTTCTTCCTTCTTCCTTCTTCCTTCCTCCTCTTCTCCTCCTCCTCCTCCTCCTCCTCCTCCTCCTCCTCCTCCTCCTCCTCCTCCTTCTTTTTCCACTGCCTCCGCCTCCATCTCCTATGTCCTTATGCCATAATGAAGTGACAGCTCATGGGCAACAGTGTTTAATACTGTATTTGACACATAATAACTTTAAATGTTAGTCTGTGAAGTAGTAACAATAATACATATTCATTTAAATTTTTATCATTTGAAGACTGATGAGAAACATCTTTAGTCATGGTTTCTAGGTCCTTCCTATTATTGATTATGCTCCTGTATATATTTTCCTGTTTGTCAATGAGCCTCTTAAACTTGGCTGAACACAATATTCCGTATATAGTTTTACTAGAACCAACTTGAACATAATTAATTTCTCCTTCGGTGTAGATTTTCTACTTCTATCAATGCAATGAACAAAATTAATTTCTTTGGAGGATTCATTCTACTGAGATTGAAGTCTGAAGTACCCTAAATTCATCTGTCCATGAACTCTCTTTAGTTTACTTTCACACTCAGGTCTCTTAGTTATTCTTATGGTAGAACTCTGGCTCATTTTCTTCCAGAAGATACCATCTTGCTACCTAGTATTACAATTTCTGAGATTCATACAAGTACATATTTTTCATACAACATATTTTTCAAGTTTATTAATGTTTGCCAGCTAAATGCTGGCTAATTGCTATGGAATGAGGTTGAGAACAGGATTCAGTAGCTGTTTAGGATTGCTTGAGATAAGTTTACTTTATTGAGCAATAGGAACATAAACAGAATCAAGCCTTAAGGATTTTTTCACCCAAATAATGTACAGAATGATATGGTATCTGTTAGGAGATGTCAAACATATGCTAATTTGTAAACTTTTCTTTTTACTATTGCTTCATAATAGATAACATAAATCATGTTATAGTCTATTATAAAATATAGAAGCATTTCTTAAGAATAAATTGTTATTAATTCAGCATAACTTTGAGTGAGTCTAAATTGGTAGATATAATTCAGGCTATCTAGATACGTATATATTTAGGGTTTGTTTTAAATAAAATCAGGTTAACTATAATGAAGAATATTACATGTAGACTCAGGTTGGTTTATTCAGGTGGTTTTGGAATTTAACTCTAAGGACTCCTAATTCTTTCACAAAAATTCCAAAGATTCCTGGGTAGCTTATAAGAGGCCTTTCATGTTGATGAATTGTGACATTCCCTGACTCGGTTGTTCTCAGCTGGGGGTGATTTTGCTCTCCAGGAGGCACTTGGCAATCTCTGAAGACATTTTTTATTGTCACAGTTAGGAGGATGCCATAGGGACCAGGGATGCTGCTGAACCGCCCACAATGCACACAACAGCTCCTTAGAAAAAGAATTACCTAGCACGGGATGTCAGTAGTGCTGAGGGTGAGAACCTTAGGCCAACTCAGTGAGTCCCAAACTTTTGGAAGTTGCAATGGATTTCCCTCTGCCTCATATTTCCTTTATTTCCACTTCTGCTTTTCTCTGCCCCTTCCCATTACTTCTTAAGTTCTGATTCTTTCCCATTATTGTTTGCTCTTAATTTTTTTTCTTTTTCATCTATTAAAAACAGATTAGAATCTAGTGGGTTTTTTTTTTATAGAGGCAAAATATCAGAAATACCACAAGTGGCACACTTTATGATAATTAGTAACATTCTAGGTTATGATGAACCCAATGTTCTTATCATTGCCCAAGTTAAGGAGGGCCTTTCCAATGAATACCAGAATTTGGGAAAATTGCAGATAGAGTATTCAGGTCAACTCTTACCTTGAAGTGGCAGTATATCAAGAGAGATGCTTAGCCTAGTTAATTGATGGGATGCTAGGGTTTAATTTCAATAATTTATCTGACATGGGTATCAATATTGAGAGATTTAATGCAAAATAATTGTTCAGGGCGAAATTCTTTGTACTACCTCATTGTACCTTCTATAGTAGTTTGTACACAGTAGATTTTCAGAGGGACTGATTAATAGTGGGAACAGCTGTGTGGTTGGGCATAAACTATCGACTGAAATACCAGAGCATCTCTGAGTTATGTGTTTGTGCTTCATGCCCTCCCTGATTTTTTTTGTGGAGGCAGAACTGAAGTGAATCTTTGGGAGACAGAAGACCTTTCACTTGTCCCCTATAGGGTTCCCTCTCCAGAGTTTTTTAATCACACATTTTGGATTGGATCATATACGTGTCCCCCTGCTCTTTATCACGATACTTTTGTGGATAAAGGTGTAACAAGATTTAGATAATTTTATCTCAAAAATAGTATTTGGAGAACTGAAAATTTTCTTGAATCTTTTCTCCATTATTTTATCTCTCAGAAAAGTTAATATTTAAATGACCCACCTTTGTTGATAATTAAATAAACTGCCTTAAAATGTTTAGCTTTCCTGAGATTTTTCTTTCTTGAGCATCTATTTTTTGAAAATACTAAGTGCTTTATATTAATAAGGAATTAAAAACGTGGTTTTGTTTTTGTGAGTAAAGACAGCCCCTAAACATATAAGATAATTAAAAGACAACGGTACCAAAGCTTATAAATAAATAAAACCTATATTATGACTTATAAATCCTGAGAAATTTATAATTGAGAATAAACAGGGTAATTTTATTTTTTTAAAATCAAATATTTTAGCAGTGAATTTTGAAGCAGAACTTGAAATAAAATAGACAAAAACTTTTTTTTTCTTTTAAAAACTATTTTATTTTGGAAAATTTAAGCACACATAAAAGGAGAGAAAAGAGAATGATGAACTCCCAATTACCCATCGCCAGGACTGAGTAATTGTCAACATTCTCCCATTCTTGCCTCAGCTCTCTTGTGTTGTTGTTGCTACTTTTGTGAACATATTTTAAAATAAAATTTGATCCTACACGTCTAAGTGCAAATCTCTAAAAAACATGGATGTTTTAATTCATTCAGTGAACCCATTACCACAACTAACAAAATTACTAACATTGTTTTGGTATCTTCTAATACCTAGACCATATTCATATTTTCCTGATTATCTTCAAAATCTGTATTGGTAGATATGTTGTAATTAGAATCCAAAGTCCAAACATTGCATTTGGTTATTAAGGCAACATTTTCTTCGATTAATATTTAATTTTATTTTCAAGGTTGACAATCCATGAAAAATAGCCAGTACTATTTGTCCAAAAGAGTCTTTTTTCATTCTGTTTCAATCAGCTATGCTGTGTGGGATGGGAAAAGTCATCTTGTTATCCCATCAAAAACCTCCAAATATTCGTAACCTGCTCCTTATATTTTTTACTTCAATATCTGCCACTTTGGTGAAGTTGACGTGTGTGAAGAACTTTATGGCTCTAGGAACAATCACAGTTACTTAAAATATCCCTTAGGGACAGAGCCTTGGATAGGTAGGTCTACCGTGAACCTGTTTGAAAACCATTGCCATGCAGTTTTGTTCATGTCTGCAACTACACTCCATCATAGATAAACTCCTATTCCTAATGTGTATTAAGCAGTCATACAGTCCTCTCACACCTGGTATAAGGCAGTATTCCTAGAATACTTATCTTTTTTTTGGGGGGGGGGGACGGGACAATTAAAATATTTTAGTCCTGGAGTCTTTGCATGAGGATTTTGAATTTTACAACAACTGAAGTCAGAAACAAATATCTGCTTCTTCTCACAATCCAGTATTAGTCTCTTAAGACACAGGAGTGATCAGTGTGTAACATCATGTGGGATTGTAGTAGCTTCAGAATAAAATTTTGGAATATAAAGGAGACAGGAATCATGGAAATAATATCTTTTTCAAAAAGGGTAATTCCAAAGTTTCTTAAATGAATACTTGAATGAAGTCATTGTTAATATAATGGTTATAAGCGGTTTTTGTAAATACCTATTTTTAATTACAGTATATAAACAACCCGCTCACTCCAGAAACTGTGAACGTAGTAGAGTCAATGGCAGAATTATTTGAGGGTTCAGCAGAGATATCTTCTGACCTGTATGCAATTGCTTCAGTTATGTATAACAGTCATCCACATAATAACTTTCCTGTGAGGAATAGAGCTGAAGACCAGCATTTAACAGTCGGTAGGTACAGTTTTTGTGTTCTATCAAATGCATTGAAACCACCAGTGCTAGCTAGTACAGATATGAACCTCAGCTTGGAGTTCAGCCAAATTATTAATGGCTCATGGGCTGGAGTCAGATTTTTTTCTCCTTTAACTGTTGGATAACCTCATGCAGCAAATGGAAATGCCACACAGGCAGGAGCTGGCCCCTTCTAACCCATTTGACCTTCCTCCCAGAGAAAGTAGCACCCTAGAGTCTTTGGCCAAGCTGCATAGACAATCAGTTATTACAGTTGCCAAAGCAGGTGTGATGGGGAGGGATGAGCATATCTTCAGATCATTTACAGGCCTCACACTCTCTGCAGCTTTTGACTAATAGGTTTTCAAATGTCACTAAAGGTAAATAGGTCAGAAAGTTACAACTCTAGTGCATGCAAGTGATAAACAGGTGTAGGTGCCCCAACGACGTGGTGATGTCATTAGGGTGTACACTTGCTCTTCAGGGTCAGTGGATCTTATTGTTCCTAAAAGGAGAATGCCATATATAGCAAATTAAAAGTGCTGGGTTAGAGAGCAGCCATTTAAATTCTCTCTCTGTTTTTTTCTGAAATGCTAAGTGAGAACATTTTCTCCTTTTCTCTGATTTGATATTTGTCCTGTTGCAAATTAAAAGTGTTACTTTGTTGATGGTATACTGAGTCAAAATATCACATTACCTTCAGTATATGTTTATTTCATTTACTGATTTATTCATTTTTTTTCTGTGCAAAGATGACTGGGGGCAACACTAGGAATTAAGAGGCCCACAGTTTCTGATACAGAAGTTTCCTTAAACACTTCACGTTTGGCCTAATTGGTAATTAACATCATTGGAACCACAAGTTCTAAATAAATAAATAAAAATCCAACACTATTTGAAATCCTTATTCAGACAGATTTAAGTATCAGTTACCCAAACATGCTTGCTTTAAAATACTTCTGGTTTTAGTGAAGGTAGAGTGAATTTTGAGTTCAAATAAAAGTCTCAATTTGATATCATTGCTTAGTCTGTCTTTTCAGAAAAAAAAATCTTAGCCAGTCCCTTTTGGCAAGTTATATATTTTTCAAAACACTAATCTCATATTCCAGGATAACATAATAACTAGCAAAGCTGGATTATGAGCATAACATGTCTATAGATATTGTTGGGGAGTACTCAGCGTATTTATTATTAATTATACATCTGCCTTTCACATAAAGGAGTGAATGGAGAGATTAATGAAGTATGTGGAATCCGGTTTAAGATTTCACTGTGTGAGCAAGCATAATTTTGATCGTGAACCCAAACACGTTTTAAAAAACATTTTATTTCAAATAGGAACTGCATGGAATCAGTATATCACTGACATTGCTGCCGAACAGCTGTCTTACGTTATCAGGAGACTCGTACCTTTCACTGAGCACATGATTAGTGTATCTGCTTTCACCATCATGGGAGAAGGACCACCAACGGTTCTCCATGTGAGGACACTTGAACAAGGTAAGGGTGTATTTCCTTGGGAATAATTACCTGCAAGTGCTGCTCTTGCACATTGTAATCCTCTTTCTTTTCTTGCATGTTAATTGTTCATTCTTCTTTTCAAGTGCCAAGCTCCATTCAGATTATAAACTATAAGAATATTAGTTCCTCATCTATTTTGTTATATTGGGATCCTCCAGAATTTCCCAATGGAAAAATAACTCATTATACAATTTATGCAATGGAACTGGATACAAACACAGCATTCCAGATGACTACTCTAAATAACAGCTTTCTCATAACAGGTAGAACAAAGTTTTGCTTTTTAAAAAACATTTCTATTCTGATGGAACATATGCATCTCTCTGCCTTAAGCCCTGCAGGACACGTGTTTCATCATTCCAGATTTAGCTGTGCTGTGCTGCCATGGAGATCTTACAAAATATGTGAAGAAGTACATTGATTAAATGTGTTCTCCTTTATATTTATCTACAAAGAAGTAAAACCATAAGATCACAAGTATCTTAGGAATATACTTAACCCAAGAAATTTTGTCTGTATATTGAAATAACTCAGGATTATTGAAGGAATGAATGTGAAGTAAATCAGCTGATCCAGTGTTTGTGCCAAGTCAACTACTAGTATACTCCTTGCAGTGTGCCAAAATTATTTTTCAGCCTCAAATCTTTCCTTAGTATTTTAGGAAAGAATTAAAACATCACCAACATGGGAATATCCTCAAGACTAAAGATGTTTGGGAGATTGGGATTATAGGGAAAGTGACTGGAGGAATCAGTCTCCGAAATAAATTCTTTTCACTATTCCTATGTCAAATGGCACCAATCTAAGTGTTATTTTAAGAAACTTAAACACATTGTCTTTTGGTTTTATAGGGTTAAAGAAATACACCAAATATAAGATGAGGGTGACCGCCTCAACTCATGTTGGAGAAAGTTCTTTGTCTGAAGAAAATGACATCTTTGTGAGAACTCTGGAAGATGGTAAGACTATTAGGTGCAGTTTTAATAGAAAAAAAGCAAGCGGTGTTGCTTGCTTACTGCCATCTACCTCATGCTGCCTTTAGGAGCTGAAGCAATAAACATGAAAAAATGCAAGTATTTAAAGTTTTCTTTTCTTCCCCCAGAACCAGAATCATCACCTCAAGATGTGGAAGTTGCTGATGTTACTGCACATGAAATAAGTCTGAAGTGGTTACCACCTGAGAAACCCAATGGGATTATTGTTGCTTATGAAGTTCTCTATAAAAATATGGATTCCTTATTTATGAAGAACACCTCAACAACACACATAATTTTAAGGGACTTAAAACCGTATTCCCTCTATAACATTTCTGTGAGGTCATATACCAGATTGGGTCATGGCAATCAGTTATCTTCCTTACTCTCTGTAAGGACTTCTGAGACTGGTAAGTTTTTTTATTTGTTTGTTTAATAATGCATAGTAATGAATGTGGCTGACAATTGCTAGATTGTTTTTATTTTACTTAACTAAAACCCCTCATTATTCCATTTTGTATAATCCAGGAATTTTTTTGCTTTTTAAAAAAACATTTTTTTTTTATTGATTTCAGAGAGGAAGTGAGAGGGAGAGAGAGATAGAAACATCTTGCATGCCCCCACTTGGGATCGAGCCCACAAGCTGGGCAAATGCCCTGACTGGAATCAAACCTTGACCTTCTGGTTCATAGGTTGATGCTCAACCACTGAGCAGCACTGGCCGGGCAATTTTTTTTTTTTATTTTTATTTTTTGTAAATGAGTACAAAAAGGCTTGCCATGCAAATTTTTTAAAAATCTGATTTGCATATAAGGGACTTTAAAATAAAGATCAGCACATTTTACAAATGAAAGGCTTAAAAAACTAAAGATGTTTTTCAATGTCCCAGTAAATTTGTGAATTAATAACTACTTGCTTTCAAATTAGGTTAAAAGCAGAGACACACTCATAAGAATTGATTCCTATACTCTAATGAGGTATGTCTGTAGATAGAGGTGTAGAGTAGGAGCACAGATAGGGCATATGGGGGGAAGTCTTATGGAGGAGGTAGCATTTAACCTAGGTCTTAAGCAGTCAGGTGGAATGGGCAGGAGGACCTATGGAAGCCGTATGAGGGGATATCTGATCTAAAGGAAATAACGCAAGCAAGGAGTTACTTGGGTTTCAGTTTCACCAATGCAAGAGCCAACAGCACAAAGGAAGACATTTTGCCTGATGATGTCAGTTTGTTGTTTATGGTTATAATCATACATTGGAGCAACTTGATAGTGTGTGCTAAGAATTAAGAACTAAATTTAAAGTTACTGTTTTATCCCTACATGTGAAAAATAAATATTTATTGACTAGCAACTGGCTGAACCATATGGCTTTGCTCTTCCTATAGGCCATAATGCCCAAGTGTCAGCAGCTTCATATGGCTCAGCCAGACCCTATGGCAGTGTGGCCCTGTCCCTGACCTCGAGGATGAAGGAATCTAGTAAAGCAGCTTGCTTCGGAGGGAAGCTGGTCACAGAAATTAATTCTATGAGATGACACAATGTCCGTAGAGAAGGGCATAGGTTATAATTGCAGAGACAGGAGAGTGATGAGAGAATATTTATTTTTATCATCAAGAGTTCCCCCAAAGTGAAATCTAATTGATATTAAACTACATAGCACCATGTCTCGTTGCTTTATAGACACGGTGCTTCGGTACTAGCATTTGCTTTTCACCGGGCCTTATTTTATTTCATTTCGCCCTGGTTCAAGGGGAGAAACGCCTGAGCGTAGTGTAAGCACCTGGAAAGGGCCGTGGGCTTTGCTATTGGGTTTCATAGCAACTGGCTTTTATTTTGGAGTAGAGCATGAGGCATTGCTATCTTCATTGCCCGATGAAAAAGGGAGGTCTGAGAGGTCCATCTTTTCAATAATATTTATAATATGCCAAGCCCTGGTGGGAATACGCCGCTGTAGGATAAAATGACTTTTACCCACCTAACGTGAATATTAATTGGTGGGTATTCAATTGCTTACGGTTATCTAGCTGGTAAGTGATGAAGCTGGAATTGGAACCCAAATCCACCTAACTGTAAAGCCCATCCCCTTTCACAATAATGCTGGTTTAGAAACCGTCAGTAAAGTTGCTAAGTGATAAATATGTCTTGATCCTCCCATTCATTTTTGCAGTGATATTTCACTGTTTGGGGCTCTGAAAAGCATTAGAAAAGAAAATAAAAACTTTAAAAATCCTGTTGGGATATTAAACAATAGCCATATTCATGAACATTTATCAAATGTTTCGCCATTTAATTGGTCACAACATCAAGTACACCTTATTGTTATGACTATCTATAAAAATCATTTTTTTTTGTTTTCTGATTATCACATGCTTACAGTTTTTTTACTTAATATTAAAAAGTAAATTCGATTTTTATTTCATTATTTATTGTATGAGTTTAATTCTCAGGTACGGATAGTAACAAGTCATAAGTGAATATAAGAATTTAACTTGAAATGTAATTTAAAATGTGAATTTTAGTGTTGGCAGGTGTCTTAGAAAATATACAGAATCCTTTATTTTATGGATGAGGAGACCTAGGAATCTATATATATAAAAGGCTAAGTGACCAGCCATCCATCTGTCTGACCGGCCGGCTGGCCGGTACATATGACACTCACTGGCAATTTATAAATAAACGTTGACTCGCACATGCGCAATATTTGTCCAGTCTGTCACTGGCCTCCCACTTAAATTAATTTGAAGACAGTTTCCCGTGATGCCAGTATTTGCGATGACTATTAATAAATCACAAGGACAAACTCTAGAAAGAGTAGGAATATTCCTACCTGAACCTGTTTTCGCACATGGTCAGTTATATGTTGCTTTCTCTCAAGTTTGAAGAGCATGTGACGTTAAAGTTAAAGTTGTAAATACTTCATTACAATGGAAATTGGTCGAGCACTCTGAAAGTGTTTTTACTCTTAATGTGCTATACATGGAGAATAAGTTTAATCAATTTATCAGTCATAGTTTTTATCAATGTTTTTATATCATGTTTTTGTTGTTTTTGTATCATGTCTTTGTTCTTATATCATGTTGTTATTTTTTACTTATTAATCAATTTATATATTATTTTCATATACATGTTATCAATTTTTTTTCACCTCTGACACTTCTATTATAGAAAAAGGGCAAATAGCGATATTAAAATATTTATTCTAATTAATTTCCTTTCGATGTGCACAAATCTATGCACCAGGTCACTAGTATTTTAATAGAATTTCTCTCAAAAATCATAGTAGATGAGAAGTGATGTTCGGACTTGAAGCTAAGTCTTCTGACAGCCATTCAAGGCCCCTGATCTAGTGAGAAAAATAGAGAAGTGAGAAACAATTATGACAGGGTTCACTAGCTCCCCCACTTGGGTGAGTACAAATTGGTCATCTTGACACTAGAAGCAAAAGAGACCTAAATATAGGGCATAGAGCTCAGTGTCCTTGCTCCTAGTTCCTAGTTCTCTCTCCTAAATTAGGGTGCTCTCACGGTCTCTGTATTTTCCATCTGAATGGAAAGGGTGGACAATGGAATCTATGTTAGTGATTTTTCCTGGATCATGTTTACTACTATGGAGCCACCAATTTAGCTCTTTTTGCAAAAGAGGAAGTTAGAATTTTTAATAGTCTTCAGGTGTTATTTGAAGCAGGATGTGCTCAAGAACAACCATCTATCTGTTCCCAGGGCTCAGGATACTGGTTAGATACAATACTTTTATCTTTAATCATATTTTAAAAAAGAGCCCACATTTTATTATTCTTTCATGAGAAATGGAGGAATGTGATAACTCAATAATGTGTTAATTCTGCTAATTACAAATAGTAGTAAATTATTTGTTTAAACAATTTATCTTGGTTGGGGAATCAGGGTTTACTAATGCTTGGAAGTAAAATATTGTACTCCTGTATTCAATCAGAAAAGTGCAATACATGACTAATTCGTGTGTGTGTGTGTGTGTGTGTGTGTGTTTATATTTGTGCTTTAAGTATAGAATGTACAGTTGATGAGCAAACTTGAGATTAGTTTGTATTTTCTCATACGTAGTGTGCAGTAATCGCATAAAGAACTTTAAGTTCCCATACTAATTACTTTATGATGATCCATATATTCTGTATCCTTTTTAAGACATAACTATTTTTTTAAATCCTCACCTGAGGATATGTCTTCATTGATTTTAGAAAGAGAGAGAAACACTGATGTGAATGAGAAACACTAAACGGTGGCCTCCCATATGCCCCTTGACTGGGGATCAAACCCACAACCCAGGTATGTGCCCTGATCAGGAATTAAACTCAGTAGATGAGAAGATGCTCCAACTGACCGAGCCACCCATCCAGAGCAAGATATAACTTTCTTTACAGTAAGCCTTTAGCCACATGCCTTGAATACTTCTGATTTTGAGCAACAACCACTGTGGATAGTAACTTAGATGTTGACTAAAATTTGGTGTGGGATTCAATAATTTTATATTAATTAATCGTATGCCTTTTTTAAAAATTTATCTTTATTGTTGAAAGTATTACAGATGTCCTCCTTTTCCCCCCATTGACCCACTCCACCCCTCTCCAGTCCCCTCCCTAGGCTTTCCCCATTGTCTGTCCATGGGCTATGCATTTCTTAATTTATCTACATAACATTAAAACTATACCAGTATATGCCAAACAACAATATTTTGGCATACACAAGGTAAATTCCCACTTCCTATTTTAGTATAATCATGAACTACATTATTTATTTTTAATTTTTATAACGATTTAGTTATTTCAACTAACTATAATAATTACTCTTTATTCTTGAATTATCTATTTTGCACACTACTTTACAATTGGAAACACTATGTTATTTCAGAAAACTGAAGAGTGCCTCATCACTCTCTGAAATTAGTGATTTATCAAGTTGGTCTTGCTTTATTTACCCTGAAGATCCAGGACCAAGACCGGCCTGCGATGGGTCTGACTCAGGCAGTCCAGCCTGTAGTGTGTGAGTTCTTGATTTTGTGTAGGAATGATGGCACAGTATGGAGTCCAGGTGATTTGAGAGTACATTTATTATAGCTGGGGACAGTAAAACAAAGGAAGGACTTAGGGTAGACGAAGCAACAGGAGAGAACCTAGGCAGGGCTCTGTTCTCTAGAAATGCTATAGGACAGACGTGAGCCAGGGCGGGGCGTCAGAGAAAAGGGGCCTTGGAGACAGGACCAGGCGGTAAGCCTGGGTTGAGCTGACAGAGTCCACTGCTCCCCTGGTTGTAAGTCTCTTAGGGACCCTTAGGATTTAGGAACAAATAAAAAGTTCATGCCTGGGAAGAGATATGGGTGTGTTCTAGAGTGAGCCTGCACTGCCTTTGTCCTGAGGGCTTTTTCTCTCTCTTCCTCCC